TTATAATTATTAAAGTAGCTAAACCTTTAAGATGAGCACATGATAAAAAAAAGTCAGTCCTTGTAGATTTGTAAAATTCTGGTTTGACTGCATTAACAAAGAATGAAATATATGATACTCCTGAGACTAGTAGAAAAAACAGTTAATATTAGAAAACTGAGATTAAGTAAAAAATGCTGGAATTGCACAGTAGGTCAGTTAACATCTGAAAAGGATAGGTTAATGTCTTGGGTGTGACCCATCTTTCTTTTTCAGATGCTGATCAAACTACTGTACATTTTCAATATTTTTTGTTTGTGTTACTGATTGAAGCCTGATTGGAACACAGGATTTCAAAAGGGATTATGTTGAGCAAGACTTCCACCCACCCTCAGGTTTGTAAACATGGGTGTAGATAATTGTCATCATGTCACTGCCCCTATTTGGGACAAAATACTTTTTTAATTGTCTAAAATGTCTTTTGTTTGGGCTGGCTTTTGCTGGGGTATAGTTTTGTAGACACAAATGGCAGTCTTCCAGTGCCTTGCCTAGGTGCATTTTCATGTGTGAGCCTAAACAGTGAGTGTTGACATGATATTCAACCTAGACGGTAGCACAAACGAGCCTGATTGTTTTCATCCAATTTTCATGCACACATTCAAGTTGGAGTCACTGGATCACGTTTAATAGCAGTCACTCTGGCAGATTTCCTTCCGTAGTATAGGTGGAGATAGTGTCCCAATCTCTATAGCCTAGTGCTATACCAGGTAATAGATTTACCCCCTCTAGACCATCAGGAAAGCCCTGCCTTTTTTATAAAAAAAACTTGAGCATTCACTTCACAAAATTTCCTAAAATGTGGCAGTGCTCGAGTGCAAGCTGATCGTAGATTTTGCATAACTAAGAAAACTGTCATTGACTCTCAGAGAATTGATTTTAAGGTCCTCACCTAAAAATCCCTTCATGTCCCAGCACCTCTTTGTGATCATTTATCGCACTCTTCTGCTTTACTTCTCCGCTCGGCAAACTGGCGTCCCCCACCTCATTATTGATGGTCAAGTCTTCAGTAACTTGCCCACACTGAGTGGAACTCCCCCCATCTCTACCCATCTCTGTTTTTAAATCCCACCTAAAAGTCTTATCTCTTTGACTGCGTCTACAGTTACCTACCACCCTCCCTTTCTTAATATCTGACAGTGTCCCTGTGATATGCATCACTATTACCCTACGTGAAGCATGCTTTATAAGTGGAAGTTATTTAATGGAGAATGATAGTAATTTTATTAATTTTGTACAATTAATCAATTAAGTATTTATTTTGTAATTAATGTATTTAGTTATTTCATTATTTGTCAATGCAATAAAACTGGATTATTACGAACCTGTTAGGATTGATTAATTTTTATTTTATTACCGATTGAGCCCTTTTAATGATTAAATTGTGCTTTTGTTAGGATCAAGGAGTAAATTTTCATTTAGATGCAGATTCTAGATTTGTAGTGATTTGCAAAAGTCTTCAGTGGTAATGAGCTGTATGGCTTTAGTTGTATGAGTCACCAACCAGTATTCTCCATGGGGGGGAGATAAATGGGATCTCCTTGAAGCTGAGCTGGCTCCAAGGAGAGCCTCTCAGTGCATTGCTTGCCAACTGAATGCTGGAATTGAGTCATCGCTCTGTGATGGTCTTGGTAGTCCAGTTCCTGAGCCAATCGGCCTGGTGTACTGTTTAAGGCACTGCTGATGACAGACCAGCCAGCCTGACTTGTCAGTAGGCCTCAGAGAGGCAGATGATATCCCATATCGGGAGCAAGTAAATGTTAAAAAGAAGAGGACAATTTAGCTGAGCTGAGGCGAGTGCGGACCAATAGATTTTGACACAGTCCAGCCAGGTCTGGCGGTGAACCGTAAAATTGGAATTGAGCCAGATGCGTTCAATGGCAAGCGCCTGTGACTTGAGGGAGCAGAGGTGATTGGTATAGCAAGAGAACTTGTGGGAGTAGGAGTCCTGCAGGAGGTGATGGGGGTAAGGGTGTTGAGAGTAGGAGACAGGGAGTTGTGGAGGAGAGTCATTGAGGAAGTAAGGTTGTTACGGGAGGAGGTGCAGGGGTTCGGTTAACTGAAGGGTGGCAGAGGTGGGGGGGGGTGCAATTGTTTCCCAGGGGCAGTAAGAGATAGAAGTGGGTTAGGTGCCAGGGAGTGCGATGGAAGAGTTAAGGGAGATGAAATAGTGATCCTCAAAATTGAGGTCTTGTCTGTCTGTTCAGGTGGATACTAAAGACCCCATGATAAAATTGGTCATTCAATTCATGGCTGTTTGTTGGACATTGCTGTGTGCAAAATTGGCTACTATGTTTGACTATAAAATATATAATCATTACACTTCATAGTATATATTCTATGAAGCATTTTGAGATATCTGAGTGAAGAGTGTTCTATCAATTGCAATTAGTCTTTTAAACCTCTATGAATTTGGGAGAATTGAAAACTAGGAATGTGATGCCATTTTTCAGGAAGAAAGGAAGGGAAAAAACAATAACAAAACAACAGTGATTTTGAATCAGTAACAGGAACGGGAAAATGATTAGAATTCATTACTGATCTTATCTAGCACCTCCCTCCCTCTCTGTACCCCAGTCCTCTGCCTGCCCCCTTTGCTCATGTGACATAGGCTTGCTGTACATCCCGTAACTCCTCCATACCAACATCGATGGCCAGACTAATTATCTACACTTCAACCACTACATCCCTACCCTCTGGAATATCCTGTCTCAAATTCTCCACCTTGACCCCTTTATATATTTAAATCTCACAAGACCTACCTCTTTGATGTTGCCTATGGTAACTTCCCTCTCACCTTTGCCTGTCATCCAACCCCGCCACTATGCAACGCTCCATGATGCTATCCTGCATGGAGTGCTACTTAACTACAGTTGTTGTTGGGACAAATTAAGTTTGAATAACTATAAACTGATTAGGGAAAATAGGACATGTCTGACTAACTTAAGTTCTTTGACAGAGCCACAGTTGAAGATATAGAAGTCATTTACAAAAGTCACAATGTGTCATGGATAGGAAATTGATTGGGAGGTAGAGAGTTGAGATAGAAGGTACATTGTCTTAGGAGGCAGTGATGCAGAAACAAGTAGGTAAAGAATTGTACAAGACCTTTCTCAAGCCACAGTTAGAGTATTATGGATTGTTTTAAGTATTCCATTCAGGAACAATATAAAAGCATTGGAAAAAATGCAGCATAGGTTCAACTAACTAGCTCTCTTGGTTCCACCCACCTGGTTGCTCTCTCTCTTTCACTCCCTCCTTTTCTCAATCCCTGCACCCCCTTACACTCTCGGCTCCGCATGCCCTCTCTCGCTCTGCTCTTCTTTTTCTGATTCTAATTGTAGGTTTCTGTAGATTTCGTATAAGAATGAAATTCACAGTCCGATTGACCGGATCAAGTCTTTAGCAACTGTATGGGGAACCAAATCAAGATTTTTTTTGTATTGTTATCACTTCCTATTATCTTGCCACTTCCACCCTAGAGCATAATCCGTGGATGAGATGGAGGGAGGGGAAAGCTCAAGCGAGGCTCAGATAAATGGATATGTGGATAAGTAGGGTGCAGATATCTGACTTTCTGCACTAGATTATTTATTATTATTAAGACATTTACAGAGGTTCAGACACGAATAAAACAAACTGAATAGTATATACTAACTTCATGAACCATGGACAAGACTCAAGCTTAGCCTAAACGAGCTCACCAGGAATGGGAACATTTTACCTTCATGGCACACAACATTGCTGGCTGAGGTTAGCAGGAGGGGGAAGTGAAGTACGCTAAACAAATGTCGTTTTCATGCCTTTTACATTCCTGAACTGTTAGCGATTTAAAGACCGAATAAAATAACTAGCTTCAGACGTATGTAACATCAAAAAGTGTGAAAATCTGATGAGTTACAAGATATCCATGGTAACTAGTTATCAGAGGATCATAATTAACATTAATCAAATCAGATTAATCTACTATTGCAGTTGACCTAACCTTATTTGGAGTACTGTGTTTTCCACATAGGAAGTATACTTGGTCCATGATTTTGTAGCCTTGGAAGGAAATTCACCAACAGGATGAAGGGACATAGCCATGATTCAAAACTGGTTAAACATGGGTTAAGTTTTCTACAGCTCAGATTGAGGTGTTTTAAAACAATGAAGATGATTGACAAATTGACTTTTTCCTCTGGTAGATAAATCCAGACTGAGGGAACAAATCTTTAAAAAAAAATTAGCGCTGGTATTTAAAAATGAAAAAAGGAAACATTGCTTCCCATAAAGGGCTGTGTGAATATGGAATTTCCATAAATGTCATAAACAAGTAAATTAGGCAGAGAGATGGCAGATGAAATTTAATTTAAAAAAGTGTAAGGTTAGATATTTTGGAAGGAAGAATAAGGTGATTTATATGCTAAATTGTAACATTTTAAAAGGTGTAGAATATCAGGTATGTTAAATACATACATCTTTAAAGATGGCGAGGGAAGTGATCAAAGCTGTGGAAAAGCAAATGGCATCCTGCCATTAATAATGGCAAAAAGAATATAAAACCAAATAAGTGATGGTTAACTTATATAATTGTTAGACAGCTAGAGAATTGCATTCAGGGAGAGGACATGGTAAATGGGACTTAATAGTTGTTCTTTCAAAGAACACAACCATAATTGGGTCGAATGGCTGCTTTCTATGCTGTAAAGTTCTACAGTTATAATGCAGATTTATCAAAGTGTTTAAAAGGGAGATGGATAGATTCTTGAAAAGTGAGGAGATAATTAAGGGATATGGAGAAAGTGCAGGGAAAACAGCTTTTTTTTTAAAAAAAGAGGAAATACCTGCGATGATCTAATAAAATGGATCAGCAATCTCTACTGGCCAAATTATCTATTCCTGTTCTTATGTTGTTTCATTAGCACTTAACTGTAATATTGTTTTGTAGTGGTAAACAACAATTGCAACATTTTTTTTTGCAGACTTTGTTCAATAATCAGAAAAATCTTGCAAATAAGGAAGAAATCAATTCTAAAAGTGACACTTCAAAGAAGATGTCTGATGCTTCAAAGAAAATGTCTGTGGAAAGAGTGTATCAGAAGAAAACACAGTTGGAACACATTCTGCTCCGTCCAGATACCTACATTGGATCCATTCAATCTCTAACTCAGGTAAGATATTTTAGGTAGGCTGCTGTGGCGCTTGTTTAAATGAGACATAAATTCTTTTCTGCCTTATTATCCACATTGATTTTAGATGCTGGGGTTCTTAATGGAAGCCTCACAAACATTATATTTATGAATATTGTCAGTGTAAATAATGGTCCCTAAAGTAAACATTTTCAGATTTTGTCCTTTTTTTTTAAACATTGTTGTCTTTTATGTGTAAACAAAACTGAAGCATTGGAAAGAGTTCACCAGTTTTTAGCAGCAAGATAGGTACAGTAAACCTCAATTAAGACATAACAGTTGCAACCATACATTTAATATGACTGATACAGAGTAGCAGTTATGTCAAACTTGCATAAGTCTTATCATATGTGACTTCTGTAAAGTTACATATAAGTCAGATTTCATATGACTTACACATAATAAATTACAAGAACCGAACTCGCTGACATTAAGGCATGGTTTCAAAATGGAAATTTTCAGGCCAATCATTTTCCGGAGCAACCACTTTCATATACTTTTCAACCTGTTTTATAACCCGTAAATGTTTTATTTGAATGTTGCCTCACCAGATTTTATTGTATTTTTCTTGCAGTTGATCCAAACGTGTGAATTATTTAAGAGTTGAAGGGGGATGTTAAGAGTTCACTTAATTGTCTCAGTTATAAAAGGAGATGCGTGTAGCCTAATACTTTACACAGCTGTAAAACCTGAAAACAGGCAAATAGGTACAGCACTGCTCTTGTAGCCACGAGGCTGTTCTCCAGTCATGACATTAATGGGCAGAGTTCCCTTTCATAATATAGGAGTGTTCTGTTTAAGGTAGGGCTGGGAAACGACAGCCGGTAAGTTTGGTAGGGGCAACTGCTGAAGAATTGCTACAAGTTACACGGTTGTTAATATGACTGGCGCATTTAAAGTTAAGTGGATTTAATAGGAAATTAAACTGGGCTTGTGCAGATGCACAACTTAGGCGATTATATGATTTATATAGATCAGACTATTGGATCTTAAGTGGATAAACTAAATTATAAATACGTTTGTTTTCTTTATTCTCTGTAAATTCAGGTAGATGTAGAAAGTTAATTGCATCTCAAGAAGAACTGTGAAACAACCTTTCTAACAAAAGGACACGGCACATCAGATTTTCTTATGTACTTAGTGTTTTCTGCTCCATATAGCAAATTTGTTATTGAGGGTTATTTACCATCTCATAACTTTTCCAAATTTCCAAACTCCTGATAATAAATCACTGGCTTATATCATCAAATGGTTTATGTCACCATGTTGTCAATATCCTGGCTGTTTCCCATGTAAAGTGTGAATAAGGGACTCTGCTATATTCATCACACAACTTATAACGTTAAAGTATCAGAATTTAGATATTCCCATTATTGGATATATCTTCAAAGTGCACTGCACTGCGGAAAAATATTGCCAAGCTTTTCACATCTGTGCCAGGACCTGAAGTGAACTTCTCGCAAATAGTGGCCTGCGCCCTGAATGTACGGAGACACTGAAGCCCACTGGGAATTGCAGTTCACCCATTATCCTTCCGAGGGGACAGACCCAGATCCGGGAGCTGAGCTGGCTACAAGGTGACATGTGTGGCAAGCAATGTCAGAATGGAGTCAATCCTCTGTGGTGGCATTGTTAGTCTAGTTTCTGAGCCAAGCAGGTCACCAGATGTCAATCGCAAGGATTATATTATAAGTAAGGTGTATTCAAGGGAGAGAGTCCACATTCCAGACACAGAAATTTCTATTCGTAGGCGGCATAATTTGTGAAACTCTATCTGGTTTGGATACTCTTCAGCAAGGTTACAGATTCATGCATGTGTCAGACTCCTAGCTGACTTAACAAAAATCTACATAGAATGCATGTCTACTGTTTAGTTTCACAGTTAATCCAACTGATGAATTCAGTGCAGGTTTATTTAAAGCATTGATAAAATTGTTTTTTTGACTAAATGGAAGCAGAAGGATTCAGGCTCAAGATTTTGTATGAGACAGGAAAGTACCTTAGATTTAAGCAAATCAGTACCCTAGTTGTAGATTTGTAATGTTCATTAATAAAACTTTTCTAATGTGAAATTGGTGATCAATCCAAAGTTTATGATTGTAAAATTTAATGTAAAAGGTACACTAATAATTTTATTCTTGGTTAATGTTCAGTATGAAGGATGACAATGGCTCAGTCTATTGAGGCCACCTGGGTCTGTCCCCGCTTGTTTTAAAGAATATTAAATGAAATTGCAATATCCATAGAAATTATTATTCTTTCTTCACTTTATATTTTCCTCACACTGTCAACTTGGGATATGTTTCAGAAGTAGAGGAAGATAACAAAGGGGTGGTATAACTTAAGATTTTATTTTGATTTTGGGTTACTTTGCAACCTCCCCCCCAAATTCTAGCACTTGTTTTAGAGAATGTCCAAATAGTGAACAGTAATTGCAGTAATAATAATAATAATCCTTTTGATATAGCGCCTGATCACGTCTTCAAGATGTCTCAAAGCGCTTCACAGAATATACTGTAAAGTGAATTGACTGTATATTTTGTGGGCAGCCAAATGCGCACAACAAGACAACAACACAACAAGATTCCATTTATAGAGCGCCTTTCACGTTGGGAGGACGTCCCAAAGCGCTGGACAGTTGGGTCAGGACCCGAGCAGGGGGGAAATGGTCAGGGTGAGGGGAGGGAAGGGAGGGAGCGAGGAGGGGGTAGAGAGTCGAGAGGGGAGCTGAAGGCACGGTCAAAGAGAAAGGTCTTGAGACCGGCCTTGAAGGAGGAAAGGGAGGAGGCGGCGAAGGCACTGGGGGATGGAGTTCCAGAGCTGAGAGGCTGAAGGCCCGACCACCGATGGTAGGGCAGTTGGGGCGGGGGATGTGGAGCAGACCGGAGCCAGAGGAACGGAGGGTACGGCAGGTAGGTAGGGGGATAGTAGGTTGGAGAGGTAGGAGGGAGCAAGGCCGTGAATGGCCTTGTAGGTGAGGATGAGGATCTTGAAATCAATCCTCTGGGGGATGGGGAGCCAGTGGAGGCGAGCGAGGGTGGGAGTGATGTGGTGGCGAAGCCTGGTGCGGGACAGTACACGAGCTGCAGAGTTCTGAATGACCTGCAGCTTGTGGAGGGAGGTGGCGGGAAGGCCGACGAGGAGAGAGTTCCCATAGTCCAGCCTTGAGGTGACAAAGGCGTGGACCAGGGTTTCAGCCGCGTGAGGGGTGAGGTAGTGCCGTAGTCTGGCGATGTTTTGGAGGTGATGGAAGGCAGTGCCAGTTGTGTCGCGAATGTGAGGGAGAAAGGACAGCTCAGGGTCGAACAGAACGCCGAGGTTCCGCACAGCAGTGTCCCACAAACAGTCATGGATTACGTGACCAAATTATTACTTTTTTTTAAGGAATTCTTATCCCAGGAAAAGCGATCCACCAATCGACTAACAACCGGGTTCCTATTTACAGCTAGGTAAACAGGCATGTGGAGTAAGAAACTTGCCCAACATTTCGCCCTGAATATAGAAGATCTATAACTGCTACTATAGTTTTAGCTTGTAGAGTGTGGGGGAAGAGACGTTGTCAGAGGAAAGCAACATGGAGAAAGTGGCCACTTCGGAAGTTAAATAGACAATGGAAATAGTTAGTAAACATAAAAAATCAAATAATAAAATGTGTACTTTCTTTTCAGCCAATGTGGGTTTATGATGAAGATGTGGGTATGAACCTCAGAGATGTTACCTATGTTCCAGGCCTGTACAAAATATTTGATGAAATTCTCGGTAAGTTTTCTGTATGGTGCTAATATCCTGAAAATAATGTATAAAATAAATAACCATAAAAGATATAGACCAATTCAGCAGAATGGAGATGGATTTTAACAGACATTTATTGCAATTTTTCGTCACTCAATGGGAAAGGACATGTATCCGAACTGTAGGCAGAAAGATCGTGGCAGTGCTCTCACATGGAATACATGGAACTCTATTTGGTTTGCATACTCTTTAGGAATGGTGATGGATACTCTTAAGCCGGGTGTCTGACATGTGGCTTTCCCCATTTATCAGACTCCTGGCTGACCCCCCCAAAAATTGGATAAAATGTTTCAATTCTTTTTCAGTTAATGCAGCTGACAACAAGCAGAGGGACAAGAATATGACGTGTATCAAAATTTCAATTGATGTGTAAGTATTTGAACAAGTGTGCAAGGCTTTTGCAGTTCATATTAATTATTTACTGAAACTTGTCAAATGACCTTGTGAAGATTGTATAGGCCAAAACGTTTTGATGTCAGACACCCAGCTGACCCCCAAAAAAAGTCCATTCATTTGCTGACTTGTAACTGATCAGTTGCTATGTTCTGTAATGGCTACTTTCCTTTCAGCAAATTAAATATTTACAAATTCTTAGTTTTAAATATATTAATGTCTTAACAAAGATTTGTCTGTTTTTCAGTGATTCCAATATCATTAGCATTTGGAACAATGGGAAGGGTATTCCAGTGGTGGAACATAAAGTAGAAAAGGTATTCGTGCCTGCTTTGATATTTGGGCAGCTTTTAACATCCAGTAACTATGATGATGAAGAAAAGAAAGTTACAGGTAAAAACTTATTGCAGCGATATTTTGTGTTGAATGTTAATTTCAGTCTGATGTTTGATGCCTACAATTTTATTTGTTTGTGAAGGAAAGCTGTGATACTTATTGTTTTTCAGGGGGAAGAAATGGATATGGTGCTAAACTCTGCAACATATTCAGCACCAGGTTTACAGTTGAAACTGCTTGCAAGGAGTATAAAAGCAGCTTTAAACAGGTAAATCAGCTCCCTGAACATTGTTGTAGAATTTCCTACAGTCCTCATCCACTCTAAAGAGCTTTGGATTGTATCAATAATTGCATTTAACATAATGCCTTATCACAATGAATGTTTCAAAGTGTTTAAAAAAAAGTATAGTGAGTGTTATCTAGGGAAACACAGCAGCTAATTTGCACTAACAATGTCCCATAAAGTTTTGAGATAAATAGCCAATTAATTTTTTTAGGGTGAATTTGAATAGGGGAAGACTATTGTCCAGAACACATTTATCATTTATGAAAGGAAAAAGGAAATGGCAAAAATTAGAGGGAGAAAAGAGTTCAGAATTCACCTGAAGACAGGCAGAAAAACAATGGACAGACACCGAGCTATGTGCTTTGTAGGTTCCTCACAGCAAGTTCCCTCTTTCCCCCGTGAGAAACTTTATGGCCTTCATCCCCCCTCCTCCCTGCTTCTGTGATCTCCCGACTGTTCCCTTTGTTCAGCAAACACCGCCTTGCTTCGTGTCCCTCCACCCACCTGTCCCACCATCGCTATTTTGCCCCCCGATGTCTGAAGCTCCATTTCTGGAGTCGCTCTGACTCTCTCTCTCCCTCCCTTCTTTCAAAGCACTTCAAAACCTAACTGTTATACTGCATTTCACCTAAATCTTTCAGTCATTTTTTTCCCCTCCCACCTCCCTCAGCTCTCATCTCCAGCTCAGATGGCCAACAGAATGCCAAGAGCTTTGAGATGTCCTTCCTATGTGTAAAAGGCACTGTGTAAATGTTATTAGGTTATGTTTCTGGAAGGGAAAAACAAAAATATTGCTTAAACAGGGCACCTGGCCCTCAGCAGTCAAAAGGTTGGACCACCCTGGTCTAGGCTATGAGATCAAGACCCAACATGGGGCCAGAGCCTGAAACCCTCTGACCTGAAGGCTGGGGTGCCAATTATTGGAACAAAAATGACACCAGTATTGATATTTTTTAGGCAGGTAAAACGTCTATACTTCGGTAGTGTAGATTTGCTGTAAAACCAAATAGTTTAATTTACACTTGCTACATTTATTTCCTCATCTAAACGTAACTTTTAATCCTCAAATTGGGGAAAACATTTATAACCATCTTCCCAATTTACTTTTTTTTAAAAAAAGATAAATATGTCTAAATATTTTAAAGCAGTTGTGAAGTGTTATGGAAATTTTGCATCATACTTGGAATAATTTTTAACTCAATGTTTTATTTTCAGCAATTAATCAAAACAGACTGAATAATATTTTATCAACATACCCATATTCATAGCTATCCCTGAAATCAATGTTAAGAATTTATTTTTACACTGAGTTTTGTGTTACAGGCACATCCCATCTTATTTTATTTCTATGGAACATTTAGTTTGAGGCACTTTGAGTATTTGTAGAGAACCTATTCTAGATGAGATATCAGAATATTCTACTTGTGAGACTAAAAGGTTTTTCATTATTTACTTATTTTAACAGACGTGGACCAACAACATGAACAAATCCTCAGAATCTAAAATAAAGTTTTTTGATGGTGATGATTATACGTGCATTACATTCCAACCTGATTTAGCAAAATTCAACATGGAGAAATTGGACAAAGATATTGTGGCCCTCATGACTCGAAGAGCCTATGATATAGCTGGATCTTGTAAAGGAGTCAAAGTCATGTTAAATGGAAAGAAACTGCCAGTGAGTTAAATTTAATTTACTTTACTTAAAATGTATAGTTCTATTGGAATATCCAGTTAGGTAGTTTCATGCTCTTGACTTCTAAAATGTTCTAAGAACTTGAATCTTTTTAGTGTGCTCACATTAATGTTCTCTATTTTCTCACAAGTTTCATATTTAAAAGCATCTCTTTGCACTTTCCTTGACTGGTCAAGACCGACCTCAACAATTGCGATATTAGGATCAGACAGGAATAGGTGCCCAAGAGCAGCCCAAAATTGTCTGGCTCTTTGACTTTCCATATGTTGCGAAAGTACCTGGGAGCTTACTGGGGAATGGGGTGTGAGGGTGGGTGGGTGAGGAGGAGGAGAATAAGGACATTTGGGACTAGAGCTGTATTCTACCAATCGGTGTGTTGCCAAAGTGACTTTATCCTAATTTGAAAGGAGTTTGAAAGGGGAAATATGATAATCTTGCCTGTATGAATCACACTTTAACTGATTGCATAGTGGAGAAAGGAAAAGTAGGTCTGATTTTCAAATCAGATGGCTGGTGAGTGACGCATTGTGACTGACAAAGAGCTGAAATGGGGCTTATGAACTTAAAAAAAAATGTCTGAAATTTTATGCTGAACTATTATTTTCCCCAATTACTATTGAATTAACTATTAGTAAAGCAGATTGGCCGGCCCGACCCAACCCCTCCTTCCTGGCATGCTTCGTGTTCCCCGCCCCACCATCAATGGCGTATCTGGCCCTAATCTCCAAAACTCTTCGACTTGCCCCTTCCCTTGCCTCCTTCAAGGTCCTCAAGACTGCTTCCAACCTACTTTCCTCTTTTGCTGTGTTTCGAATGGAATACCACTTTGTTCCTGGAGGGATGCATCCTGCTTACTTGATTCTGGAGAATATTAGACAGGTTGGCAAGAGCCAAGGCTTGGGAACCTCAGAGTATGGGTACTGCTGGAGTTTAACCGGCTAATTCAGTAATCATTTATTGTGAAGCATTTATCTATGATTGATCAGTATACAAGTCTATTGTAATCTGTATTTTTCAGTTTTTTTTTCATAATTTTGACATTGTATACAAGGAAAATCTCTTATGAATTGATACCCGATTCCATATCTTCTAGGATTGATGTTAGATTGATTAAATAATGTTTTATGTTTAGCTGTAACGGCCCAATCTAAAAATAAGTTACGCAGCCCCAACCGAGTTCCTGCTAGCTACTGTTCCACAGCACAAAAGTGCCTGTAATTAGGCACTAATTGACTGTCCTGCTGAGAGTTAGTTGATATATGAAATGGAAAGTTCACATGGGTGCTGTGTGTGTTTGGGAAAAGGAGAAAATGCGCTGTAAAACAGATTAATAGCTTTTTTTCTACATCTGGCCATGGTGTACCATTGCTAAGTTGCCACCAATAAACTATTATTGCCATGTTGCCCAGAAATTAAGGAAATTAATTGCAAAAGAAATGCCTTTACCTGGTACAGTAGAGAAGTTTAGAATGAGTTGACAGAGAGGTCACAAAACATTGGAAGCAACTAGAAAGTAGGAGAAGGAAGAATGAAACCTAAAAGTGTACATTAGTGATGCTGGTGTGTTTGTTGGATAAAGCCTTCTGACTTAAATGTTTTCTTCCTTTCTGTAGGTAAATGGATTTCGAAGTTATGTTGATCTTTATGTGAAAGACAAGTTGGATGAAACTGGTATTGCACTAAAGGTAGTTCACGAGTCAGTGAATGATCGGTGGGAAGTATGCCTCACCATGAGCGAGAAAGGCTTCCAGCAAATCAGCTTTGTAAATAGCATTGCTACCACAAAGGTTCGTATTTAAGAAGTCGAGTAATTTTGTCAAATTAGTTTGTACAATGCTGCTTTTGAAAGCATCAAATATGTTTGCTTTCTAATAGTTTTGAAACTGCTCAATGTGTTCTTGAGGCTTTTTTCCCTTAATCGAGGCATTATGTTTGTTAGATATTATACTCTACAGTTTGTATTTCAAATTATGAGCATTAGGATCTAGAATTTTAATGTTAAAAATTTTATTTTCACAGGGTGGTAGGCATACTGATTATGTAGTTGATCAGATTGTTAGTAAACTGATTGAAATTGTCAAAAAGAAAAATAAAGCTGGAGTGTCAGTGAAGCCGTTTCAGGTAAGGTTTTAATAGAATTTTGCATTAACTTTATATGCAGAAGTTTTAATAATTTGAAGGAGAAATAACCATAAATATTATTCTACACAGGTAAAAAATCATTTGTGGGTCTTTGTCAATTCTCTAATTGAAAACCCAACATTTGATTCTCAAACAAAGGAAAACATGACTCTTCAAACCAAGAGCTTCGGATCCAAATGTGCTCTCTCAGAGAAATTCATCAAAGCGGTTAGTATATCGATGGTGCAAATGCTTCAATATTGTAAATAAATTTGTACATCAAAAGTTATTCATATTTTTTTAAAAAACGAAACGTTAATTCAACTGGAAAACCATTGTCACTGTTTCAGATTTTTCAGTTACCCAGGGTTTCAGTGTTTGGTTCCTGAACATTTCTTATTGTTCATTAAATAAGTAGATCAATTTAGATTCTAAAGTATAGCTAATAGTTTCAACCATATTTATCCTCCCAACTATCAGTCCTTCCTTACTATCCAATGCGTTGCTGCCTGGAACTCGTTGCTGACACTCAACTTTGCTCCCACCTTTCCCTCCATTACCTGCTTGAGCTCCTCCAGTCCAGCTTTTGTTGACAGTTAACGGCACTCAGAGAGCTGTGGTGAAAGTCACCAATGATGTTCACCCTCTGCAACCAGGGTTCCTTCTGCTTCCTTGACATTTCTGACACTTGGCTCCTCCTCTGTTACCCCTCTGTTGGACCGCACTCATCTGGTTCTAATCGTCGCCTCCACATTGTCATCTAAAAGATACTCCTCCCATCCCCTGTTGAGTATGTTGGGTTTCTATCCTTGGCCCCCTTATTTTCCTCCTCTACATGCTGTCTCTTGATAATATCATCCTTAGACGTACGGTTAACTTTCACTTAACATTCCATGTGAATGTAGCAATTACTGCTCTTGATTTCAGGTCCATTGATCGGTCAGCTTGCCAATCAGTGGTCAAGGCATAAATTTTTTTTTTTTTTGGTGGTGGGTGTCAGATGTGGCAGAAATCCCCTTTGCTTAAGAATATCCAAATCACTTTGCTTAAGAATATCCGAACCAAGCAATTCCATGAATCCTACCTATACATGGAAAATTCCCGAGATATTTATTGAAATGGAAAGCCCACTCTCCTTGGAGGGATGCATCCTGCTTACCGAATTGCAGAGTATTAGGGTGCATGCTAGAAAGAGCCAAGCTTTAGGGACCCCAGAATGTGCATTGGGTATGGCTGGAGTCTTAACTAACTAAAATTCCCATTGAGTTTCTCATTGAGAGCACTGCCTGGCAAGCTTTCCTGCTGCTTGTCCAGCTAGGCCACCCTGCCTGTTACAGGGTTAACATGAGCTGAGTGAGAAGAGTCCTTGCCCCCAGTCTGCCATTCCAAGTTTTGCTGATAAGCCAGCCTGGCTGGGCTATCGTCAGCTCTGGAATACAGCAGACCCACCTAGCTCAGGAAATGAATGACAGAGATCGACCGCCACAGAGGGCTGGCTTGATTCTGACATTCCATTGCCAAACATGTCACCTTGTATTCAGTTCAGCTGCAAGGAGACTCTACTTGCCTTCCCTGACACCAGAAATTAAGGCCTAGATGAGCTTCAGCTTCATGCAGCTCAATATGAGAAGACTGAAGTCATCCTCCTCGGATCCCTTCAATATTTCCTTACTCTGGCTCTGGCCTCCTCGATCTGTCTCAAACTCACCGAACCAGTGTTCAACTTCGGCATCCGATTCAATTCTCTGCACATTGCCCACCTCTGCTCCTATTTCTCATCAAATGTTGGCTTAACCCTTCATCATTCTTTTGTTATCTCCTAACCTCTGGATCTCCCTAGCTCTACTAATCTTCTTGCCCCTCTCAGTTTGTCTTTAAATCACATCCAAAAACCTACTGTTTTAACAAAAAAATTACATTTGTATAATGTCTTTCACGTTGGGAGGATGTCCCAAGGCGCTGGACAATCAATCTTTCGGACCTGAGCTGGGAATTGGAAAGTGTGGTGGGCAGAGGGGGAAGGAGGGTGATCGAAGGCACAGTCGAAGAGGAGGGTCTTGAGATGCGTTTTGAAGGAGGCAAGGGAGGGGGCAAGGCAGAGAGACTGTGGGATGAAGCTTCAGAGGGTGAGGGGAGGAGTTAGATATTTGAAAAGGAGGGAACCAGGAGGGAGCCCTGAGAAACTTTGCACGAGACAGTGTGGGGGCTAGAGGAGAAACTGTTTGTGGAGCTGAAGTGGAGATGGTGTGAGAGGTAGGATCTGAACCCTGGACAGAACCATGAAGGTTGAGGTGAGAGGAGAGGCAGTGGAGGAGGATAGAGTGATCAACGGTATTGAAGGCAGCAGAGAGCTCAAGGAGGACAAGGAGGCAGAAGGAGCTCTGGTCGCAGATGGACAGAACGTCATTTGTCACTTTGACCAAAGCTGTTTCTGTTCTGTGGGCGCCATGGAAACCTGACAGAAGGTGTTGTGAAGGGAGTGGCAGGAGAGGAAGGAACAAAGCTGGAAAGCTATGACTTGTTCCAGGACCTTGGAAAGGAAAGGGAGGTTGGAAATGGGACAGTAATTTGAGAGCAGGAATGGGTCCAGGGAGGGTTTCTTTTAAGGATAGGAGTGATGACGGCCATTTTTAAAGGGGTGGGAACGGTGCTAGTGGATAGGGAGAGGTTTATGATGTCTGAAAAGAGGGGCAAGGAGGTGGAGCTGGGAAGTTAGTAGAGGATGGGAATGGGGTCGAGGGAGCAGGTGGTCTGTTTCATTTGGGTTATAGTGGTGAGAGAGGAGGGGAGACCGGTTTGAATGTGTGGCATGAGGGATGGGTCGGGGCCGGGTTGTTAGGGGGAGATGGGGTAATAGACGAAGGGCAGAGGCAGCTGAGCGGTTCCCCACACTTATGATCCCCTCCCTTCTCTCTTGTTTGGTGTGTGACCTCGTCATTGTGAAGATCTCCATGATGATATCCTCCATGATGGGTGCTATATAAATGTAAATTATCAATTTTGTGTACATAGTTTAAGGTTGATTTTAAAAAAGGGAAATGTATTTGGTTCTTTCAGGCAACTAACTGCGGCATTGTTGAGAGTATACTGAATTGGGTTAAATTCAAGGCCCAAACTCAGCTCAACAAGAAGTGTTCCTCAGTAAAGCACAGCAAAATTAAAGGCATTCCAAAACTGGATGATGCCAATGATGCAGGTATAGTAGTATTTTTCTTATGTTTATTGGAGTAACTAGAGGTGATTAAAATGTGACTGTTTGATTAAAATCAAATTCAAGTGTTGTAAAATGTTTAATTGTGGTTACTTACTTACTTACTTACTCCTGCTTCCTCCCATAAATTTCTGATGGCATTGGGGTGTGCTGGTGTATGGTCTTAAGCATGGACACATAGTTGCAGTGTGCATTTAGTATCTTCTCAAGTGACCATTCTTCATCTAGTTCTAAATTTTGTGTGTGTGTTTGTGCGCGCAGAGGCTAATGGGCTTGCTGTTTTCCTATTTTATTTGCTAAAAATTGGTATTTGTTTTTTCTGATTTTCTCAAAATATAGGAAAATTAATTCCCATGGTTATATGTCTTTACCTTTTTAAATCATATTTTAAATTATAGAAATGGCCAACTTTGGGGCTATAAGGTCGCCACTGATGTTGCTTCTTGCATGCTACTCATACTATGGTATGTGTAGGATGTTACGATGGAACCTTGATGCACTGTGTAGTCACACATGACCCAAAAGCTGGCATTTTTATAGTCGAAGCTTGCTAAAAATCGAAGAATCACAAGAAAAAGCAAAATAAATGCCTGTTATCCATTTTTTCCCCCAATCATGTAAGTCTGTCATGTACAATGAGGAGGACGAAGGGGTAGTCTGATTCTTTTTTTCTTCTGATGACCATATACTTTCTAGCAGATTCAGTGGGAAATGATTAGGGTTGGGAGTCTTTGCTATTTATTTATCCAATGCCCTCCCTCATCCATAATGCAGGGTCCTGAGATCTACTGTAGTCCTTGTAATGCTACCCTGCCTGAGATGAGCTAACATGCCATTGCCCTGGGATTGAACCTGGGATTTTTCTGTCTATATGACTCAATTTTAAACTGGGTAGTTATTTTACCAACTGAGCTATTGGATGAATAGTCAGATGTGTAGGATTGGAGTAAGTCCATTTTTCAGAAATTGATTTTTTAAAAAAAATCTCATCCAACTAATTGAATCGATAATTTTTTATTAGAATTTTGATGCATAGTTTACTTAAGTTGCATGAAATGTACATCTCTCATACAGGTGGCAGACATTCTTCAGAATGCACATTAATTCTGACTGAAGGGGATTCAGCCAAATCTTTGGCTGTGTCAGGTCTAGGTGTCATTGGGCGCGATCGATATGGTGTGTTCCCACTCAGGGGTAAAATTCTCAATGTTCGAGAAGCATCACACAAGCAGGTATGACTTTTTACAGTTTAATGGAATATAACCATCTATATTTGGCTTCTCTTTCACGTAGTTTCATTTAAGGATGTTTTTGTAAGACACTGTTCTGTGAATAAGGAAGTCAAGCTGCAATCTCACTGGGATTGTTCTGGTCACAATATTAAAATTTAGTTTAAAAGCAAACAATTAAAGGCAGCTTGTTTCCAACAGTAAAGTAATTTGTCATGAGACGCTTAGTTTTATACTTTCTGCTATAAAATTAAATTGGATGGGTTTAGTGAAAAGCACATGTGTAGCATCCATAACCGGTAAGTTTTTAATGTTGCTAGTATTACTGGTAGATCATCCATAAACTTGTCATTGTTTTTTCTAAAGAAATTTTAAGTCCTGTATTTGTATTGCAATGGAAGAAATCAATGTCCTGTCAGAATTATCTTCTACGAATGAATTCAGCTCAAACCTGATTTATACTGTATTTGGTATCCAAATTTGAAAGGTATAATTATCAGATGGTGACATGGTTTCTCACTCCCAATATGTTTCTCTAGTTACAGACATACTGTCTTACCACCATTTGTCAAACTGGATGCAGACATTGTGAAGACAGATCTATCCAATTATTGCTGTAGAGCTGTAAATAATAATAATATGTTAAAGTAGTAAACATTGGAGGGACATAATGTATGAAGAAACAGTCATGCTTGTTTTGTTTCTTAAATTTTGATTAGTTTTAAAACACGAAAATGATCAAAAACAATCTGAATTCACGTTTTTTCTCACCAGGCTCCCATTCCCAGGAGATGGACTTCAAGGTCCTCGTTGTTAGCTTCAAATGCTCCCACAGCCTTGCCCCACATTATCTGTAATTTTCTGTGGTTCTGTTCCCAGTCCTTTTCTTCTTCTCTGCAAACACTGTCCTTTATATCATTCAGGCCACTGAAACTCTTGTTCATGCCTTCATCACCTCCAGGTTCGACTATGCAAACTCCCTGCTTGTCGGCCTTCCCAACTCCTCCCTCCACAGGCTGCAGATAATCCAGAACTCTGCAGCCCGTGTCCTCTCCTGCACCAAACTCTATGATCCCATCTCCCCCATTCTCTCTCAACTCCACTGGCTCCCTATCTTTCAGAGGATCCAGTTCAAAATCCTGGTCCTCACATACAAAGCCCTCCATGGCCTCACCCCTCCCTACCTCTGCGACCTCCTAACCCCCTACCAACCCGCCTGTTCCCTCCACTCAGCCGGCTCTGGCCTGCTCCACGTCCCCCGCCCCACCCGCCCCAACATTGGCAGGAGAGTCTTCAGCCACTCTGCCCCCAATCTCTGGAATTCCATCCCCCAGTCATTCCGCCTCGCCCTCTCCTTAGCCTCCTTCAGGTGCCGCCTCAAGACCCTCCTCTTCGACCATGACATTGGCCACCCCCCTTCCCCTCCCCTCCCTTACCCACCCAACCCCAGCTCGGGTCTGAAATACTGTACTCTGTCCAGCGCCTTGGGACGTCCCCCCGATGTGAAAAGTGCTATATAAAAATGTAATCTTGTTGTTGTAAATGCCAAGCTGTGTTGAGTGAGAAACCAACCAGCAAGGACAAAATTCCTGACACTGATTACAATGTCTCTGACAACATGTTCTTTCACTTTCTTTTTTGTTTTCCTCAAACTAGCCCAGAATACCTCCAAATAAAATAACTAAATTTTTTAAGCTGTATGCTAACTTCCATGTAGAATATATTTTTGGAACCTATCAGATCTAATGGTACTCGTGGAATAATGGATTTGAAAGTGTGGTTTGTGAGACAAACTATTTAGTTTCAGCAGCCTATGTGTATTTAAAAACTTAACTACTTAACTATTACATGATTGCTCAAAATTTAAGATGTAATTAAATGTTTCTGAAGTTGTATCATTTTCATCCAGAAATTAGTGCATTAGTTCAGATGCCCATGTCTGCTTATCCTGCTATAATTTGCATAATAATTCACGAATGGAATTGTTGCAGTGGCTGCTGTAATGGGTACATGTACCCATTGTTTATGTACATATACAAATGCTAGAGTTCAAAGTACTGTACATCTTGTAAAGTTTATACTGCATGCTTGAAAATTGCTTTTTACAAAAAAACATAAAATGTGAATGTCTTTTGTCATATAGATAATGGAGAATGCAGAAATCAACAGTATTATCAAGATAGTTGGTTTGCAGTACAAGAAAAGTTATGATGACGCAGAGTCTCTGAAATCTCTTCGCTATGGGAAGATAATGATCATGACTGACCAGGTTAGAATTTAATTTAAAAATTTAATTTTTTAATTAATTGAAAATTAATTAAAAACACCCCCTATATATCTGATATTCTACCTTACCCATCTATTCTCCCCTCTACTTACTTGGGCTTGTGTACCTTGTCTTCAGATTCTATGCCCATAACCTCTACTCCTCTGCCTTTCCCCCTGTCTTTAAAACTGGCCTTAAAACTTACCTCTTCGAATGTGCAGATCTCACCGAGGACTTACTTTTTCATACCCCATTATAGGGCAAGTTGGGAGTTTATTGACCCCAACTTCTAGTTATAATGAGGCTGTTCTGTATAATGTTTCTGAATGAAAGTATGTGGATTGTTGCTTTGTAGTAATTGCAATTATTTTGATTTCATTTATAAAGTGTGATTGTATTTTTCTCACTTGTAGGCATCTGTTTTTATTTAATATTTGATAAATATCTTTTGGTTTTATTATTTCAGTGCTGGTGACTTCATATCTTTCAACATATTTTAAATGCAAAGCTGAAGTTGGTCGGTTGGTATTAGGCCTCAGATTATATAACTTGAGGTTCAGGGTGTGAAAAAAAGATAATGGCCCAATTACTATTCACCACAAATTGATATTAGAATGAAAGCCCCAGTTGAATCCCTTCTATAGAACAAACAAAGCATTATTTTTGTTATACAATACATATTTATTCAGTGCCTTTCGTGTTGGGAGAATGTCCCAAAGTGCTTAAAAATACTGGCTGAGCACCCGATCTGGGGGTAGGAGCAGAAGGGGTGGGGACGGGAAAGATGACCAAATGATTGGTCTTGAGTTGGACTTTGAACAAGTTGAGGGAGGGAGCGAGTCTGAGGATTCTGGGATAGAATCCCAGAGAGTAGGGACAAAAAGGCTGAAAGCCCACCAGCTCATTTGTAGGGTTGGTGACATGAAGCCCATATCCAGTCCAGTGCAGGGGATGTGCTGCATTGTTGGAGGTGCGGTCCTTCAAATGAGACATTAAACATTAGTCTAACTTTCACATTAGTATGATGTCTCAAAGCACTTTAAAGAGTACACTGTGAAGTATAATGACTGTGTTTGGTGGATGAACATGGCAGCCAGTTTGAGCTCAACAGTGTCCCACAAAAAGTGAATACGCAGTGATCTTCTGGCTCAGGCAAGAGTGATAGTAACTGAGGTAGTCTGACACTAAGGAATATTGTTATCACTTTAGGATGAACTTTGCTTGTACCTTACGAAAGTAGTCATGATAACTCGGCATGTTGCCAGTATAAAGCACTTGGGTGTTGCATTGTACTTAATAATATCCTGTCAGCATGGCTCATTTGGTAAGTAGCTCTCATGCCTCAAAGAGTCGGATGCTTGTGGGTTCAAACTCCACGATAGGACTTAGGTATCACAGTCTAGATTTTTACTCCTATGCAAGTCTGGAGGTAGAATCATAGAAATGTATAACACAGGAGATAACATTTAGCTTTTTGTGAGAAAATCAATAGATTATTTTGTGTAATTTTATTTTCAAGGAAAAGAGTTGCAATCTTTTTTTGTGAAATGGTGCAGCACTAATTCATTGATTGTGGCATCTAAAGTCTAATAGTGATGTATTATAAATAGTTTATGTGATCCTGCATATATTTAAATTTTATAGGATCAGGATGGTTCTCACATCAAAGGTTTATTGATAAATTTCATTCATCACAACTGGCCATCTCTTCTGAGGCATCATTTCTTAGAGGAATTTATTACTCCTATTGTAAAGGTTAGTGAAACTCCAATAACTGCAGCCTTCTTGGAACTATTTTCATTCTTATTGCAGTCGGTTGAATTAAAAGTACAAACCATGAATTTCCTATTTTTTTTCACAAGGCTACCAAAAACAAACAAGAGTTGGCATTCTACAGCATTCCTGAATTTGATGAGTGGAAAAAACATTCAGAAAATATGAAATCTTGGAAAATAAAATACTACAAAGGTTTGTATGATTGAAGCTTAATTCTCAAAATGTGAAAGCATTGGAAGTGGAAGAAATCTTGGCTTTATTTTAATTCAGTAATCAATTTATTTTATGCAGTGGTGCTGTACCCTCGAATTGGAGTTGTTATCTGCCACCAGTTGCAGGTACCCATTAGAGTTAATGTGAAGTAGGAATGGTAAGAAATTTACCTTCAAATTTCTATGAAGTAACAAATGAATTGTGTCTTGCACAGGTTTGGGTACCAGCACAGCAAAAGAGGCAAAGGAATACTTTGCTGATATGGATAAACACCGGATCATGTTTAGGTACGCTGGCCCAGAGGATGATGCTGCAATTACCTTGGTATGTATGTAGTTGTGAATGTGTAACCGTAACATAGAACATCTCAACTTGTTTTATAATGTTTATTTCAGGCATTTTCGTTAAAATATTCTCCAGGAGAGCAAACTTGGTTTAACATTTAAAGCCTAAAATTGAAGAGAATTTTTTTTTATACCTCTTGTAAATCTCAAAATTCTTTTTGTAACTTGCTAAGTGCAGTTTCTCATTTTTGTATTAGCTCTACTACAACAGCATTTTTTGTGCAACAACAACTTGCATTTATATAGCACCCCTCACACAGGATAGCGTCCAGAGCGCTTGACTTGTGCCAGAGCACAGTGCCAAGCTGGGGAGGTGACCATAAGCACGGTCGAAGTGGAAGATCTTTAGGTGCAACCTGAAGATGAAGAAGGAGGGGCAAAGTGGAGGGATTGAGGGAGAGTGTTACAGAGTGCAGATAAAGTACAAAAACAGTCATGAGATGAATAAGTAATTTTATCTGGAGGATTGTTGGCCAGGACACAAGGAGAAACTCCCTTCTCTTCAAATAGTGTCATGGGTTGTTTCATTTGATTGAGTCAGACTGACCAATGGTTTAATGTCTTATCTGAAGAATAGCACCGCTTACATTACATTAATATAGCGCCTTTCCTGTCAGAAAGACATCCCAAGGTGCTGGAGAGTTAAGGTTTTGACTTGAGTGGGAGTTGGAATCAAGAGGGGGGTTGGGAATGTGGCCGAAAGCAAGATCAACTAGGAAAGATGGGATTTGAAGGAAGCAAGATGGAGGGATTCTAGGATGGAGTTCCAGAGGGTGGGGACAGAAAAGCTGAAGGCTGCCCCCTATGGTGGGGGGCAGGGTGGGGAGCATGAAGCAAGCCAGTGCCCCCTGAGGTAGGTATGGTGTTAACAGGTCTCGGAGGTAGGGAAGAGCAAGATGGAGGGCTTTAAAAATGATGTGGATTTTAAACTGTCCTCTGAGGAATGGGGAGTCATTGGAGCCAGGTCAGCCTTGGTCAACCTTTTGACTCGTGAGGTGAGTCAATGTTGACAAGACGGAAGCTATACTCCCGTCAACATCTTCTATCTTGCAGCTCTACCCTCCTCAACCTCCCTGGCCTATCCCTCAGACTTTCCCAATCAGTGCGCAACCTAGGCATCAGGCTCGACCCACAGCTGTCCTGCCTTCCTCACATCCGTTCCATGATCAGGACTACCTTCCTCCAGTTTGCCACATTACCCGCTTCCGATCATACCACAGACCCAGCCGAAACACTCGTCTATGCATTCATCACCTTCTGACTCGACTTTTCAAATGCCCTCTTTGCCGGTCTCACCAGCTCCATCATGCATAGGATCCAGCCAATTCAAAACTGCCGCGCGTATACTCACCTTCACTAAACTCCGTACCCCCTTCACACCAGTTCTAGCCAGGCTCCATTGGCTCCCTATCACCGAACAGATCGATTTCAAGATCCTGACACTCGTTTTCAAATCCCTTCATGCCCTGGCACCTCCCCATCTCTCCGAGGACTGACCTGCTAACCAACAACCCGCTGCCTCCAGTCGACTACCTACAGCCTTCTGCATGTCCCTCGTGCCCTCCATTCCATCATTGGTGGCTGGGCTTTCAGCCACTACACCCTAAAACTCTGAAACACTCTTCCTCTATCTCTCTGCCTTGTGCCTTCCCCATCGCGCCTGAAGACCTTCCTTCCTATTCGACCGTGCCTGCGGTCACCTCCCCCTCCCACCGGCTCGGGGTTACGTCTGCCACTGTCAAGCGTTCTGGGACGCTACCCTGTGTGAAGGGCACTACATAAATGCAAGTTGTTGTTGAGATTGCTAACTGAAGCAATAAACCACTTGTCTTCTTGATATCTGAAACATTGGGTCTTGGCCTCAACCTCCCCCTCATTGATTATCAGATATTGATTACCCACAGTGTTTGAAAGAATAAATGTCTAAAAATACAGAATAAACCAAAATTAATTGTATAGCAAAACTGTAATTCAAAATGAAGACTTTAAATATTTCAGGCTTTCAGTAAAAAGAAGGTGGATGATCGAAAAGAATGGCTGACCAACTTCATGGAAGACAGAAGACAGAGAAGGTTGCATGGGCTGCCAGAGGTTTGTGGTCTTGAATTCCAGTTACTTACTTTTAATATTCTGTTGTGTTTATGACGTGACATTTTTAAAATATGGTTTTACAGCAATTTTTGTATGGAACAGCAACAAAACACTTGACCTACAATGATTTCATCAACAAGGAATTAATCCTTTTCTCAAATTCCGACAATGAAAGATCCATTCCTTCTCTTGTTGACGGTAAGTAGTTGCAACTATGAGTTTTGTTTTGCTTTGTTCTGATTGTTGTAAGAGCTTCATTTTCACTGATGCACTTTCCTGACAATGCATTTTTCACTGTATGTAGTAAAGATCTGAGGTAATTCCATTGTTTTTCATCTGTTAGTACTCAAATACTTATTCTAATATTTTTTAAAAACATTATATATGATAAGTCAATTTGATGAATGAGTGGCAAGTCTATGGAGGAAAGCCTTTTTCTGGGCAGCTTTATTGTCATACCACATTTTTTAATAAACCTTGCATTTGATATAGTGCCTTTCACATTGGAAGGTTGTCTCAAAGCACTGAACAGAATTCATTAAAGTGTAGTGACTGTATTTTGTAGACTAATGCAGCAATCAATTTGGACACCTTAATGTCCCACAAATAGCCATGAAGTGAACGACCAATTTTATTTGGGGGTTATTGGTACCAGGACACCAGGAAAAACTCCCATCACTCTTTGAGTAGTGCCATGGGCCCTTTAATGTCCACCTGAATGGACTGATGAGATCTTGGTTTAACCTCTCATCCGTTGGATGGCATTCCAAGAATGCAACGCATATATCTCTAATATCTTAATACTATATTGGAATGTCAGCCCGGACTTTGCGTTCAAAGTTCTAACTTTGGGCTAGAATCCATAATCTTCTGATTTAGTGGTGAGAGTGTTACCAAATGTGCATAGGGAGTAGAATGGATTTTAATTTCCTTAGGGATTCTGCTTTTTCTTTTCTCCTCCCCCAACCACTCTCTTGTATTGTTCTCTTGTTTGATTTTATCCTGTGCCTTGCACTATTCTAAAGTATGGATAGGGATTGCACTTTTAGGCTTTATTAATAGGTCGACTAACACTTTAAATACTTTTCAGCTATTTTCTCAATCAATTCGAAGTTTTAGTGTAGTAAACCCCTGGCTTACTGGACTCCCGATTATCCGGAATTCGATCCGGGCCCAAAATGGAATTTNAAAAAATAGACAGTCACCACATTCTGCAGTGTATCCGGTGAAGTGCTTTGAGACGTCCTCCCAATAGTGAAAGGCACTAAATCACACGTAAGGATTATTACTAATTTCCAGAATTAGTTAAGCGGGGTGTGCCCATCTGGGGAAGGACCTGGATCCCTCTGTCGCCTGTATCCTTTTCCGTGTCAAACTCCACACCCCAAATACCCCATTGGAGCAAGGCTTCACTGGCTCCCTGCCGTAGAATGAATTGATTTCAAGATCCTCACACTCACCTACAAATCGTTTCATGCCCTTGTACCTTCCTAACTCACTGACTTGTTCACACCCAACTCCTCTACCTGCCCATTTCGCTCAACTTGACTCTGAAACTCCATACCCCAATCCCTCGCCTTGCCCCCTCATTCTCCATCTTCAGATCACACCTGAAGAATTTTCTGTTTGACCATGCCTACAATCGCCTCCCTGGATCGGGATCAAATTCTGCCATTGTTAAGCTCTTTGAAGCGCTATATAAAATGCAAGCTGTTGTTGTTGCTTTGGATACTTCAAAGCATGGCGATGGATTTCTGCATTTGTAAAATACTTGTTAACATTTGTATACGTTTTTGATTTGAGGCTTTAAACCTGGGCAGCGAAAAGTCTTATTTACTTGCTTCAAGAGGAATGATAAACGAGAGGTTAAGGTGGCTCAATTGGCTGGTTCAGTGGCCGAAATGTCAGCCTATCACCATGGTGAGGTAAGCAAAATAATATTTAAAAAAATCTTTGCTACATTTGTGGTTTAAATCAAGATATAAGATGGATGTATATAGATAGAAGCTTTAAATTGGCAAGGATTCTAAATGTGTTGCATTTACTGCTGTCAAGTTTTGCATAGATGTACCCAAGCTTTTCTTATTCCTTTTTGGGATAGAGAGTGCACTTGTATCTAGGTGAGATTAATGTACAAGTCAAGTCTAGAATAATATATATACGTACTGTATTTTATGAGAAAATATATTTCTTTTAAAGGTATGTCTTCCCTTTACTGAGATGTCTAGACCATTTCCATTCATAAGAGAAGGATAACAGACTTCTTATTATCTTCACCAATACTGTGAAGAGGCTTGCAGTATCTTATATTTTCCCGTCTGTGGTGGTGCCTTACAACTATTTGTACCATGATGATGTAGCTGAGATTAATAACTTGTTCAGCGAAATGTGGACTAATTCAGAAAAGGAAGACTGGAGTTCTGTCTTACACTATTATTTATCTTAATACTTTTTTGATATTTTGTGTATTTCAGTAGTGCAATACACTTCTGTGCTATATGACCCACTTCGCCTTTCCCCACCTCTGCAACATTGCTCTGCTCCACCACTGACTCTCACAGCAGGCCGCCAAAATCCTCATCCACGCATTCTTTACATCCAGGCTTGACTACGCAAACTGCTTACTTGTCGGCCTCCCCAACTCCTCCCTCCACAGGCTGCAGATCATTCGCATCAGGCTCCGTGACCCTATCACCCTCATCCTTGCCCGGCTCCACTGGCTCCCCATCACTCAGAAGATACATATCAAGATCCTGGTCCTCGCCCTCAAAGCTCTCCATGACCTCGCTCTCCCCTACCTCTGTGACCTGCTAATCCAATAGCAACCTGTCCGCTCATTTGGCTCCAGCCTGCTTCATGTACCCCGCCTTGCCCGCCCCACCATTGGCTGGCGAACCTTCAGCCTCTTTACCCCCACCCTCTGGAACTCCATCCCACAGTCCCTCTACCTCGCCCCCTCCCTCGTCTCCTTGAAGACCCATTTCAAAACCCTCTTCGACCGTGCCTTTGGTCACCCTCTTACCCCTACCCTCCCCACCCCTCCTGTTCCCAGCCACCAGCTCTGGTGTGGATCCCTGACTGTACAGCCCCTTGGGATGTCCTCTGCCGTGAAATGTGATATACAAATGTAATTTATTGTTGTTGCTATTATTGTGTAAGTGAATTGTCATTTTCTTTCAGCAAGCACTTATGATGACCATTGTAAACCTGGCACAGAATTTTGTAGGAAGTAACAATGTAAGCTTATTGCAGCCCATTGGTCAATTTGGTACCAGACTTCATGGTGGCAAAGATGCTGCTAGCCCTCGTTATATTTTTACAATGTTGAGGTAGGTTGTGAAAAAATAGTTTGTAATAAAACTACATAATTACACATTTAATATTTTGTATATTTCTCATTTTGAACTGCTTGGCTCTTAAGACCAAGGTTTTGAAACAAAAGTGTAAAGGTAGTTCTTAACATAAGAAATTAATTTACATATATAATTGGTTTATTTTTTCTAGCCAAATATCATTATTTGACAGATTAATTAATGGTAATTTTTAGAAGCAAGAATTGAATCGGTGAGTTTTAGATTTTAGATGATATGAAGTTGATTTACTGCTTAGTTTCATTTTGGGAATCATCAATTAAATATGTACTGTATTAACTGAATGATATCTTAACTTTGAATCTAATTTTGCTGCTTTTGTTTTTAGTCCACTGGCACGTTTACTCATTCCTCAAGTTGATGACAATTTACTGAAGTTCCTTTATGATGATAACCAGAGAGTAGAGCCAGAGTGGTACTGTCCCATAATTCCCATGGCCCTCATTAACGGAGCTGAAGGTATTGGTACAGGATGGGCATGTAGAATTCCTAATTATGATACCAGAGAAATAGTGAACAATGTCAGGCGGATGTTGGACAATCTGGATCCTCTTCCTATGGTAAGTTATGTAGAATGTATAGTGCGGTTATTTAAAACTTGTTTTTTCATTCCCTGTTAAAATTACTTTTAGTTAGACTATGGAATGACTTACCCATAAATGGCAGTTGAAGCTGATTCCACAACCAAATTTAGAAGGCAGCTAAATGAATTCTAGCTTAAAAATATTTAAGGGTCTAGGAAAAGATTTGGGTAATAAAATTAGTATTGATAGCTCAAATGGAGTTGCGACAACTACCACAGACATGGGTAGAACAAGCACAGACATATGATGTACTCTTTCTGTGTTGCAAACATTCTACGATGCTGAGTGTTTGTACATATGTAAAATGTCATTTATAAGTTGGAATTTTCTGCTTGTTAGCGATGTCAGTTCAGAAACGTTTTTCAAATGACTAAAGGAAATGTACGATATTCTCAACATGATCAGCAGAGGTTTGGTAAACTAACTAAATTCTCATGATCTTAAATTGGAAAACTCCCAGTCAGTACTATCTTAAATTAGATGTTGGTGTTCATCCCCTGTAATTGAAAGCTCAGCAGTTATTCTGCCATCTTTGAGTAACTGTTTTGCAGGTATAATAAATTGTTATGAAATTATTTATTTAAATTTTGCAGTGGCACAATTATTAGGATTTTAGGGGCTGTTAGTTCATATTCTTAAAAATGGCTGTAAATGTTACAAAAGATAATATGATGCATTTCATTGTGACCGTAGTATTGGTGGGCATATAAATCCTAGTAATTTTTAAATGTATTTTTGGATGCTGATTTTGAATTGAAATGGCTTTCTGTAACTGGCCACAGTATGATTGTGAAGAAAGATAACCAGCTCTATTATTAGCTGTTTTGTGGACCACTGCTGTATGCAATTGGCTGCCACATTTTGTTCAGTTCACTTTACAATATAAAGTAAAGCACTTTGAGATGGCTCAATTGACGTGATAAGCCATTATATCAAATGCAAGGATTATTATTATTAGATTTTAATAATTTCTCAAATAGTCTCACTGTCCTGTTTTGATTCTCACAGCTTCCAAGCTACAAGAACTTCAAGGGAACAATTCACGAAATTGGCCAAAACCAGTATATTGTTAGTGGTGAGATCTTAGTTTTGGATCGGAATACCATAGAAATTACAGAGCTTCCAGTAAGGACTTGGACACAGGTAAAAGCACCTGCGATTTTGAAGTGTTTTTCAAATGTGGTAATAAAGACCTATGTTATTATTGGATTCATGCTAGACAAGTCAGACTACATGCACCATCGTATTTTATTAGAGAGTATGGAAATACACTACTTGTACCATATTTAATATTTCAAAAATATAGACTCATAGCCAAGTGCGGCACTAGGGGAGTGTTGCATTATCAATGTGATGTCTTTTGAATGAGATGTTTGGATAATCTGCCTGTTCAAGTAGTTGTTAAAGATCCCATGCCATTATTCAAAAAGTGAAGAGGCCAACAATCATTCAGATTTTAAAAAAATTCACCTCCTCGTTGTTTGTGCAACACTGCTGTGTGCAAATATAGTTGCTTCATGACAAAATCTTGTGAAGTGTTTTGTTTTTTTGGTGTGATCAGATGCTATATCAAATACAAGGATTTTTATTATAACCATTAGTCATTACCAACAATTTAGATTTACATAGCACACTTCACATTAGATAATGTCTCAGAGCACAGTACAGGTTGGATGACGAGCAGGAGAAAGGTTAGAGGGAGATGACCATTGGCATGGTCAAAGAAGTAGGTTTTCAATTAGGATTAAAGATGAAAATAGGGCGAGGTGGAGGGATTGAGGCAGAAGTTCCAGAGGATAGGGGCATAGTAGCTAATGGGCCATGTGGTTCCAGTGACCTACCAATTTTATTCAAAGAGAATTATCATAAGGGATTGACAAACATTTTTCCTGATGTTTTGCTGGTGACCATAGTAATTAGTCATAGAATTTGATTTTTTTTATAAAAGGTAGATTACAAATGAGTTATGTAGCAAGAATATGAGATTTATTTTATTCATATTTTTAGAATACCAATGGTTATTGAAAATTGTTTATGCTATGTCATATGAGGATCTGTTAAGTACGAAATGCAATATAATTTTCTTTTGCTTTAAAGGTATACAAAGAACAAGTTCTAGAGCCTATGTTAAACGGGACAGAAAAGACACCAGTTTTGATAAATGACTACAAAGAGTATCATACGGATACGACTGTCAAATTTGTGGTGAAAATGTCCGAGGAGAAACTTGCACAAGCAGAAGCTGCAGGCTTACACAAAGTCTTCAAGCTGCAAACAACTCTGACTTGCAACTCTATGGTACAGTGGCGTTTTTTATATAAAAATTTAATGCCAATGTCTTTAAAGGTTTTCACACAGCGGCATAACATTATAAACATTACAGGTACTATTTGATCACATGGGCTGCTTGAAGAAGTATGAGATGGTACAGGACATTCTCAAGGAATTCTTTGATCTGCGATTACATTATTACAGTCTGAGGAAAGAATGGCTGACAGGAATGCTGGGAGCAGAGTCTGCAAAACTAAACAACCAAGCTCGCTTCATTCTAGAGAAAATACAGGGAAAACTTACAATTGGTAAGAATTGATGGATAAAAATATTGTCATGGCACAAAAAATTGTATTTCCATGATAGAAATTCTGTGCTACTCATCTGTCAACTATGCTCAGTAAGTTACTTAAATGGCACACTTTTAATATCTTCAATCAGGTGAGGATAGTGCAGCTCAAAGTGGATGCATGTTATCACTTAGTTAACTAAAGTCCATATGATTACTAAAGGAAGTAACCCTTGATCATTTTTTTTACCATTTTCTTTCCTCTTAATTCCCCCCTCCCCCCATTCGAACCATAAATCAGATGCTCCTGGAGAACTTGTCTTCTAGCGATTTCATATTTTCTCCATTCTTGGTATAAAATAACTTATTCAGTTTGCCTTCCCTTTTTTTTGGTCAGCCATAGTGTCTCGAAACTCATCACCATGCTTAAGACTATCGAAACCAAACAAAGTTCCTTGCATCCCACCTATACATGGAAATGCCATAGATGTTAGTTGGAATGGAATGTACACTCTCTTCCTGGAGGGATGCTTCCTGCTTACCTAATTCCAGAAAGTTTTGGTGCAGGTTGGCAAGAGCCTAGGCTTGGGGACCCCAGAATGTGAGTTGAGGTAATAATAATAATGCTTGCCTGGCCTGCTGAGTGTTCCCAGCGACTTCTGTTTTTGTTTCATAATAATCCTTGCATTTGATATAGCGCCTTATCACGTCTTCGAGACATCTCAAAACACTTCACAGAAATATACTGTAAAGTGAATTGACTGTATAATTGTAGATAAAACATGGCAGCCAATTGCGCACAGTAGTGTCCCAGAAACGGTCGTGGATTAAGTGAACAAATTATATTTATTTATTTTGAAGGAATTATTACCCCCAGAAAAGCGATCCGCCAATCGACTAACAGCCGGGTTCCTACTTACTGCTAGATAAACAGGCATGTGGAGTAAGGAAACTTGCCCAACGTTTCGCCCTGCTGGGAATCAAACCCAGGTCTCTCGCTTGTGAGGCGAGTGCTCCAACCACTAAACTGCAGGACTCCATTACTGCTGGAGTCTAACTAGCTAAACCTATGTAGCTTGCCATTGAGAACACTACCTGACAAGCTTTCCTACTGCCTGTCCAGCTCGGACCACCCTACCATTAGAGCTTTAGCTTGCAGGGCCAATGGGAGCTAAGTGGGAAGGCTAGCTGGGCTGCAATCAACAAAGCGCCACATAGGGTGGGCTAAATTCAGTCATTCCATTGCCAAACATGTCACCTTGGAGCCAGTTCAGCTGCAAGCAGACTCTGCTTATCTCCCCCTCCATGGAGGTTAGTTGCGCTATAGAATATTATCTTAATATTTGAAAATTCTAAATATAAGCTTCATTTTTTTTGCAGGAGAGACGAATCTTAACATTCTGTTCGTAAACATGTCGCATGACAACATTATTCTGTGACTCTTTCTCATTAACAATGGCGCAATGTTGAGCAATTTGTCATTTATAATAATTTAAATTGCTCATGATATATGTATAATTTGCCTTACTGAAACTCGAACCTTTTTAAATTCCTGTTTAGAAAATAAATCCAAGAAGGATCTTTGTCAGATGCTTGTTCAGCGAGGTTATGAATCTGATCCAGTCAAAGCCTGGAAAGATGCACATGAGAAGGTAGAATGCAATATCATGAAAAATCTGCTGATTATTACTTTGAATGTATTTACCCAAATCGAAGGTGCAGGTACACTTTAGAGGGTTTGTGGTTTGTGATTATAAGGAACTTATAATAAGTGATAATAACTTATAATAAGTAATAACAGAAAATAAGTGTGTATTATATATAATATATACTTTACAGTCATGTTATTTAAAAAAAGATTTGGCATTTATGGCTTTCTCTCACATTTGCTCTCTGGGTTTCCCCTGCTCTCTTCAGTGCCTCTTTTCATTGAACACATAAATAAAAACAATAAATAAAAATAGATTAACCCTTTCTGTTCTGTAGATGAGTTATCTCATCTGAAATAATAGGGCAGCTGGTACTGTGGACAAATTGATCCTGCAGAACAGGTCTCTGTTTAACACTCTAAAATGTACTGAAAATTAGCTTGATGGCTTCTTACATAATTTATAGTATCTGCTATTGAATTGATCAATAAAACGTTTTGAGATCAGTTTTAGTGATTCAACCAGCAATATTTCCAATGTGAATCCCACATCCAGAATGGATGGTGGGACTTGAGGAAAATTTTAAAATGTTGTAAGATTAGACTAATTTGGAGTTGCTTACTTTCTTTCAGTTATATTTATTTTTAAAATAAAATCACAACCAAAATGTGGCATTTCTTTGCTAGTCCTTGGCTCCCATTTGCCCACCAGTGATGTTTGGGTTTGATTGTGCAACTAGGTCATGAAATCACACAAACATAGAAGCCAAAATGACATTTTTTAGAAATCCAAAATGGCATTTTTTAGAAATCGTTTAGATTTTGATTTTGTTTAAATTAGTATTATTTTTTCATACATAGATTCCAAGCTGAGGTTATTAGACCGAGCCCTAGAACAATGCCTTAACGATCTAACCTACACAGTACTGTGATTTTGTATTACATATAAATACAAGTAATGAAAATGTGTTATTTGACCTTGTCAGTTGTTTACAACTAATTGTTTTTACAGTCAGCAACAGAAGAGGATGCATTGGAACTAGATGATAATTCAAGTCTATCAATTGCTGGCACTGGACCAGATTTCAACTACATCATGAACATGCCTCTCTGGTGCCTTTCAAAGGAGAAAGTAGATGAACTTTTGAAACAGAAAGATTCAAAAGTAATGCACTGGCTAATCCACTTTTGTTTTACATTAAAAGATCTTTATCATTAATTGCTGTGACATTAAACCACGTCTTAAACAATGTTTTAGGGAAAGGAGCTTGACAATCTGAAGAGGAAAAGTGCTACTGAATTGTGGAAAGATGATTTAGCGGCCTTTGTTGAAGAGCTTGATGTAAGTTTAACCGAACCACAGAATAACTATCCATCTGAATACTTTATTTTAATGGATTTTGAATGTGTACTTGGTTTTTAACAACAGCAACATACATTTGTATAGCATCCTTTATGCGGGTAGCATCTTGGAACAATCAGCAGTGGTGTGATTTGATGCCAGGCTGGAAAAGGGGGAGGTGAAGTGAAGTCTTCAGGTGATTTGAAGAATACGAAGAGGGATTGAGGCAGGGAGTTCAAGAGATTCGGAGCATAGTGGCTGAGAGCGCGACACCAGTGGTAGAGCAAAGGGATGAGAATTGCGCATTAGATCCGAGCCAGCTGAGTGAAGGTGGCATTTAGTGGAGTGGATTAGGATGTGCGAAAATCAGAAAGGTAGGGTAGTAACAGTATGTGAACTGATTTGAAAGTGAGTGAGGATCTTGAAATCAATCCGTTCTGTAACAAGGAGTCAATGGTGCCTGGCCAGACATATGTGCAAGCGACTGCCAGGAAAGTGGAAGGCGAACTAGATGGACCTTGGTCTTTTCTCGTCCAGAATTTCTTATTTTCTTAAGAACTCGGGTGATGGGGTGAGGAGTCTGGTACCAGTGAAGAGGGGATAGCAGAGTTTTGGATTAATTTGGACCTTGTTTATAGTGGAGCTGGGGAGACAGGCGAGGAATTGATTTAAAAAATCGAGGCAGGAGATTATGAAAGTATGAATGGGGGTGAAAGCTGGCGGAGGTAGATGGAGACATTCCTGGTCAAGGATGTGCTATTTTAAATTGTAGCTAATTTTTTCTCTCCTCCGCTTTCTTTAATAAACTAAGGTGCATATATTATATTCTGCATGCTGACCTTTGTAGGCAGGCTGAGCTACTTGAGCCATGAGGAGTCAGAAAAAAATTAAGGTGTCCCCTAGCACAATGGTTAGAACATTTGCCGCGCAAATGAGAGGATCCGGGTTTGATTCCCGGGTGGGATGAAACCTCTTGACAAGTTTCCTTACTCTTTACCTAGCATTAAATAGGAACCCGGTTGTTAGTTGATTGGCGAACGCTTTCCAGGGTAATAATCCCTTAAAACATAAATAATTTGGTCACTCGATCAAATTTTGTGGGATATTGCTGTGCGCAATTGTCTGCTGCGTTTCACCCACAAAATATACAGTCAATCCACTTTATAATATATTCTGTGAAGCACTTTTGAGACTTCTCAACGACATGATAGGGCACTATATCAAATGCAAAGATTATTACTATTAAAATACTAGCACAGGTTTGGTGGCAGTGTTATATTAAAGTTGGAGTACTGCTCTAATTAAAGGCACTGGTAAAATAAACCCACTATTGGAGTCTTCAGAGATAGTAGTGTGCTTGTTATAGCATCTGTACCAAAATTGGAAACATTAGGTCTGGGAGAAATAATCTGATGAATTCAATCTGAAGAAGCTGTACAACAGTTTGTCACAGCTATAAGATGCAATGTTGTTGAATTTGAGTTGTAAAACTGAGGTGATAAGCATAAAATTTTACAGCACAGAAGGAGGCCATTCAGCCCATCGTGTCTGTGTCGGCTCTTCGAAAAGAGCTATCCAATTCAATCCCACTCCCCCACTCTCTCCCCATAATCCTGTAAACTTGTCCTCCCCAAATAATTATCTACTTCTCTCCTAAAAGTTGTTATCGAATTGGCTTCCACCACCCTTTCAGGTAATACATTCCAGATCTGAACAACACGCTGTGTGAAAAAATTTCTCCTCACCTCTGTTTCTTTTAACAACTATTTTAAATCGGTGTCCTCGGGTTACCGACACACCTGCCAGTGGAAATAGTTTCTCCTTTTCACCCTATCGAATCCCCTCATAATTTTGAAAACTTCTATTAAGTCTCCTCTTAACCTTCTTGCTTCCTTAAGGTTAGGGAGGGAAAAGTCAGTCAGGGATCCTGCTCCTGATCCCTTTCCTTGTGACCTCTATAAAAAGTGAATATACTGAGGTGACGGAAGGATTAAACTCGATTGATGCGCCCAACTTCATATAGTTTGTTAGCATTTGATTCCGGGCTTGCATGCAAAGACTGGTCACTTAGCAGCCTTAAAACTGTAAAAGCTTTCAGGATAGTTGAAGTAATGGAGATTTTGTTTCAAAATTTATACATGTATTGATTTTATTGATGGGACGTCCTCCTGACGTGAAAGGCGCTTTATAAATGGAATCTTGTTGTTGTTGTTGATTTTAAGCTTAAGTACTTGATGGTTTTAGAGCTGGTGTAAATGAGCAATGCAAACAGACTAGTATTCATCACTTTTCCCCACTTTAGAAAGGTGCTGGCTGACTGATTCAGAACTGTAATGTTTATTGCACTCCTGCCGATTGTGAATGGAACAAATGTGAAAGTAAGCCACACAGACTACAAGGATCCCAATTTATGGAGTCCTGTAGCTCAGTGGTTAGAGCACTCGCTTTGCAAGTGAGAGACCTGAGTTCAATTCCAGGCAGAGGGCGAAACCTTGGGCAAGTTTCCTTACTCCACACAGAGCCTAATAATAATCCCTCCAAAACCAAAAACAATAATAAATCGATCATTTTCAATCCACGACTGTCTGTGGGACATTGCTGTGCGCAATTGGCTGCCGCGTTCGCCCACAAATATACAGTCAATTCACTTTACAATATATTCTGTGAAGCACTTTGGGACGTCCTCCCGACGTGAAAAGCGCTATATCAAATGCAAGGATTATTTTTCTTATTCAAGGAAAATAATCCCATCTTCTCTAGCCTCTCCTGATAACTGAAGTCCCTCATTCCTGGTACCATCCTGGTAAATCTCTTTTGTACCCTCTCCATTGGCTTGACTTCCTTCCTAAACTGGTGCGCAGAACTGAGCACAATGTTTTAAATATATCAAAGTTCTTAAATATGTTTTAGTAAAATTTCAAGCATTTCATATGTTGCTGCAGGAATTCTAATTGTTGGTCGAATAGATTTAAACTTTTGACTGTAGGAGCTGTAAATAATTTGGCAATATTCAACAATATTCTCAGTTTTACTATGAATTTTTTTATAAATGTAGATTAAGGTAAATCACAACCAAAATGTTCAGTAAATATTTTACTGATATTGCTGAATATTGCCAAATTATTTACAGATCCTACATCACAAACAAATAGCGGGTGAAAATAGGCCATTAATGTAATTATAGCAACTATTAAAAGCACTTACTTTAAAGCTGCCACAGCGACACTTAAATCCAACTTGAACAGCAACCCAATCTTGTGTGTTTCCTACAGACCTATATCCTTTCTCATTAGTGTCTAGAAAACAAGCAAAATGCTGGGCTCTGCGGTAAAAAGTGACTGAGTTGGTCGTCAACAGCAAATTTTGGAGGCGGTAAAATAAAAATTACATCTGCCTTTCCGATCGGGAGGATATCCCAAAGTGCATAATGCTGCGCAACACTAGATGGTTATTCACTCTTGAATGCAAATGTAATAATCCAATGACTTTAAACAATAATTATTCCCTCAAGTTGTATTGCTCTTATTACTTCTTAGATAAATGTTGCAATTTATTTTAACTGAGATTTTAGTGGAAATAATCAACCTGAATAACTAAGAGGGTTCAAACAAAGAACTTCTTTTAGGGACATCATTCATTTCCTTTTTTAAACTGACTTGTATTTTCTACTTCAATGCAGCGTGTGGAAGCCCAAGAAAGAGATGATGCTTTAGCAGGGCTAGGCAGCAAGGCAGTTAAGGGCAAGGTTGGTAAACCAAAAATTAAGAAGATGCAACTTGCCGAGACTCTGCCTTCAGTTCATGGCAGGAGAATCGAACCCCTGGTCACCCTTGCTATGAAGGCTGATGCCACCAGAAAAATGATTAAGAAGATTAAGAAGGCAAGTAAAATACATCATAAGACGTGTTTAAACTAGATTTAAGGTACATTGTTAAATTTTGTCTTTGATTTATTTCCCCATTATCCAGTTTCCAGTTCGACTTAATATGACAACAATTTATATTTATTTAGTGCCTTTCATTTCTGGACGATGTCTCAAAGCACTTCAGCTGGCTGATCGGGCACCTGAGCAGGGGGCAAGGTGAAAGCTGATCAAAAGGGCAGTTGAAATTAGAGATCTTAAGGGGATGCTTTAAAGGTGGGGAGAGAGGGGCAAGGTGGATGGATGGAGTTCAAGAGAGAGTGGCTAGAATGGCTAAATGCTCACCCACCACTGATGGGTGGTTTGCTAAGCAGAGGGGTCAGTTGGGTTGTAGGAGGTCACAGAGGACGGGTAGAATGGAAGGATTTTGAACATGAGAACAAGGACCTTGAATTTGATCCACTGTGGGCAGAAGACTCCATGCATCTTTACTGACATTCAACTAAAGAAAGATGGATGATTTAAAATGTGGATAATTTACTGTAATATGTAATGTTTTTCATTATTGGAAATTTTTCAGTAAGAATTGTCCATCTTTTATTAAATAGTCAAGGCAACCTTGATCAAGGGAATCCGCTCCGCGGTCACTTCCCCTCCAACTTCCACCCACCACCCACCCCTTCCCTCCCACACTCCGACTCCTACCCATCCTGCCCTACACACCTTCGTACCCGTTTCCCCACCCTCTGTCACTGAACTCATCCTATCCCTAAAACCAACCACCTGCTCCCTTGACCCCATCCCCACTCCACTCCTTATCTCCCAGCTCCACTTTCTTGCCCCACATATCACTGACATCATCAACCTGTCCCTCTCCTCTGGCTCTGTCCCCATTCCATTAAAAACTGCCATCATCACGCCCACCCTGAAAAAACCCTCCCTTGATGCGTCGCAGCTATCAAGCTACCGGCCCATCTCCAACCTCCCCTTTCTCTCCAAGGTCTTGGAAAGAGTTGTCGCCTCCCAACTGCGCTCTTTCCTTTCCACCCATTCACTTTTCGAACCCCTTCAGTCTGGTTTCCGTGCTGCCCATAGCACAGAAACTGCCCTGGTCAAGGTCACCAATGATATCCTGACCATCTGTGACCAGGGCTCCCTCTGTATCCTCGTCCTCCTCAACCTATCAGCAGCGTTCGATACGGTTGACCACGCTATCCTACTCCACCGCTTGTCCTCCCACCTCAACCTTCAAGGCACTGTCCTTGAATGGTTTAGGTCGTACCTTTCTCACCGTCTTCACTTTGTCTCGACGAATGGTTTCTCCTCCACCCCCCGCACTGTCTCATGTGGTGTCCCTCAGGGCTCTGTCCTCGGTCCCCTCCTCTTCACCCTCTATATGCTCCCCCTCGGTGACATCATCCGCAGACATGGAGTTAACTTGTCACCTCAAGGCTGGACTACGGGAACTCTCTCCTCGCCGGCCTTCCCGCCACCTCCCTCCACAAGCTGCAGGTCATTCAGAACTCTGCAGCTCGTGTACTGTCCCGCACCAGGCTTCGGGACCACATCACTCCCACCCTCGCTCGCCTCCACTGGCTCCCCATCCCCCAGAGGATCGAATTCAAGATCCTCATCCTCACCTACAAGGCCATTCACGGCCTCGCTCCCTCCTACCTCTCCGACCTACTATCCCCCTACCTACCTGCCCGTACCCTCCGTTCCTCTGGCTCCGGTCTGCTCCACGTCCCCTGCCCCAACTGCCCTACCATCGGTGGTCGGGCCTTCAGCCTCTCAGCCCCGAGGCTCTGGAACTCCATCCCCCAGTGCCTTCGCCGCCTCCTCCCTTTCCTCCTTCAAGGCCGGTCTCAAGACCTTTCTCTTTGACCGTGCCTTCAGCTCCCCTCTCGACTCTCTTCCCCCTCCTCGTTCCCTCCCCTCACCCTGACCATTTTCCCCCTCCTAGCTCCCTCCCTTCCCTCCCCTCACCCTGACCATTTCCCCCCTCCTAGCTCCCTCCCTTCCCTCCCCTCACCCTGACCATTTCCCCCCTCCTCGCTCCCTCCCTTCCCTCCCCTCACCATTTCCCCCCTGCTCGGGTCATGACCCAACTGTGCAGCGCCTTGGGACGTCCTCCTGACGTGAAAGGCGCTTTATAAATGGAATCTTGTTGTTGTTGTTGTTGTTAAGTTTTTGACCATCATAATGATTCATACGATATGGCCTAAGTTCAGTTGTTTCTGTGTGCTGCTTGGGTGCAGTGTGCTCAAAGTGAAGGTAATGGTGAATTAAACACCCAGAAGTTGCCTGTAGTAGTGTGAAACTCAGTTAGTTCGTGGGAAGCGAGCAAGAGGGTTGGCTGCATGCATGCACAACGAATCCACAGTGCAATTGAGTTATAACCTGGGCCAATAGAAAAGTGCGGAAATATTTGCTAACAATTATGGGGCAATTTGCTAATCTGCAGGAAATTGTGGGGTTTGGTGAAAACTCGGTGGACCATTTTTGTTTTGGGGGGAGTGAGGGGGACAACCAGCGAGTCTACAGGAGCTCACTGCTCACAGAGAGAGAGAGAGAGAGAAAGAGAGACACACACACACACACACACACTCATAGACAGATATACACACAAAGCAGGTGGAGATACACATTCACACGGAGACACTCACAAACAGACACATACAGAGGAGAGAGACACTCACACAGACGCTCACAAACACAGAGAGAGACATAGTCACACAGACATTCACAAAAACATAGACACACACAAGGAGAGACACACACTGACACTCAAAAATACACAGACAATCACAACAGCGAGACCTCTGAGTGAAGCCCATTTGCCATTTGCGCTCCACTGGACATGCACGTCCGGAGCCGCTTCGCCCACAGTGACATCAGGTAACTGAGTGGCCCGTGGGCCAGAAACTTCATTTATAGCTAGTTTGTAGGGGAGTAGGGTGTTTATAGCCAATTCTGCGGAAAAAGTGCGGCTGCACTTTTCTGTTGTCCCAGCTTATAACCAAATGTGTGCTATAAAGAAGCATTGTTGAATGCACTGTCATATGTAATCCAGTCAATTATTTCTTTGAAAAATCCCCAATATGTCAGTCAAGCTTTGTCGTGTAAAGCTATACTAAGTTTCTCGTGTTCCATATTTCTGAGTGCTTCATTATTCCTTTTAGGTACCCTCCAATTTTTGATCTCTTAAAGAGGAGATCAAAAATTAAAAGATACCTACATGGGTTTTTTAGGAGATAAAAAAATTTAAGGGTACCTATCTTTTGTGTATTATTTGTATTTTTTTTAAAAAGTACGATTTTCAATACAAGGAGTCAGCCTGACTCGGTTGGTAGCAGTCTCACCTCTGAGTTAGCAAGTTCAAGTCGCATATCGGAATTTGGAGGGATGGCACCATATATTCTATGATGCATCGCAATGCGGTCGGTGCAGGGGTATACTACGTTGATGGAGGTGGGGAGTCCTTCAACGTTAAACCAAGATTCCATCTGCCTGTTTCACGTGGATGTTAAAGCGATCTCATGCCACTACTTGAAAAGTCACGGGAATTTCTTCTAATGTCCTGACCATCAATTCCCTAATACTCCATTCACTCAATGGCTGCTATATCTGCCCAAACAAAACCTACAGTATCACCACTTTACAATATGAAGCGCTATGAAGACATCTCAATGATGTGATAAGGTGCTATATCAAATGCAAGGATTATTATTTATTATTGCAATTAAATCCTATTTGTTTTTCACCAATTCTTGAGCACCACTGGCTAGAATGTGACCAATTCCTATGTGCCTGAGTGGCAAAAAGGAGAAGCTTCTGCAGGAAAGGTGAGGGCTCTGGTTTACACTGGCCTGTCAGGCTCCATGGCAGGGCTCCTCACAAGACTCTTTGCCAAGACCCCTCACATGAGAGTGAATTAAACAGTTGGTTCATATTTTCAACATGTTTTCTAAGAAGCTTCACAGAGCATTTAGCTTTTAAAAATCCTTCTGATACCAGCAGACTGTTTAATCGTTCACTTCTGATATTAACAGTTAAATGTTTGTGCGCAGAGTGATGCAGATTCAATGAAGCTGGAATTTGATGAAGAAGTTGGAGCAACACTTGGAGAAGGAAATGAAGATGTGTTAAATACAAGCGAGCCGAAAGTCAAAACTCCAAGGGTGAAAAAAGATAAAAAGGAACCTGGTGTGTTAAAACAAATTAAAATGTGTTAACAAGAGGCAACACCAGCAAATGCCCTTAAACTGATTTGAGAACAACTTAAATTTATTATCCTCAAGCCTCTATTAGTTACCCCAGTTGAGTTCCTCGGTTATGTCAAAACACTTAGAAATTTAATTGAAAGTTCTCAAAAGTATCATAAATTAAAGAATAGCATTTTTTTTGACATATACAGTGGAATTTGCTTTTGCCGGACGTCAGGTAAATCAAAGAAAAAACGCCTGGCCCTGATTCGTTTGTATTCTTACCTGTTTTAAATATGCCTGCTAATTTGGCTGAAAATCCGGTTACTCCAGGCAAAATGCCGTGCTGGTCGCTGCTGAACGCTCACTCGGGCCCTCTGTGATGTTCAGCAACGAGGGATGTAGATGGGAGGAGTCAACTTGAAATTGACAGTGGACTCCTGCCATCCACAAGCGGCTGGAGTTGCTCTGTCAATCAGTGAGGGGGCGGAGGAACGGAAGGAACACGGGGGAGGAGGAGTATTGTGATTGGTTGACAGCTGAGACGCTTGTGAATGGGTGGAGCTGCCGGCTGTCAATCACATCTAATCCACCGCTAATTGGTTCTCGTCCATTGGGTACGTACGGCAATAGGAGGGCGGCAGCGCTGCTGCTCCTCTGCTGGGGCGGGAAGGGCACTGAACTGTAACAAAGATAAATAGATTTTACAGAATTCTGTGAGTATTTTAACTTTAACTGATTAGTTAACATTGCTTCAAGTGAAAATTATTACAAATTATTATATGCCGAATGCAGCGCTCCTCTGCTGGGCATGAATGGTATTTCAGTTACAATAACAAAATGTCTGTCCCGATGTGTCCGCCTTAACCAGCTTTCACTGTATTTGCCTCAGAAATAATAATACATATCCAGTCAGGCATTGCTTCCAAATCTACTTACCATAGTTTTAATATACCATAGTATTTGACTTCTGGAATTACGGGTGGTCTGAATTATAAATGCAGCTACATGGTGCTTTAGTAAATAAAAGGCAATACCATTTACATTTATATAGAACCTTAAGGAAATCTCAAAGCTAATAAAGATAGATTTCAACCCAAGGTTGTTTTGCCCTGATCAGGAGTTTAGCAATAGAGACATTCCATCAAATCATTCCCCCATCAATTGCTTTTAGCCATTCAGACCCCAATCTCTTGAACTCCGTACTGGAACTCTTCCCCTATCCTTCCCCACCTTTAAAGCCTGCCTTGACCTATCTTTTTGACCATGCTTTTGGTCATCTTTTCTACCCCCTACCCAACTCTCCCCTGCATCCCCTTCAGTTTGGATTCCCAGTCAGCTGTGTGAAGTGTTGTGAGATGTTCTCCCAACGTGAAAGTTTCTATATAAAAGTAAATTATTGTTGAAATTTCCAGCTCGAGGAAATACAACTGCAAGTCAGTGTCTAAGAGCTGAGCATAAGGGTTACATCCAAAATGTTACATCTCTTTCATATTCTGATTTATTGTAGATTTCCTGCATTTCCTTACAGTTTTTTGTTTTGTGGTGATAGAAAAATTAGAGTGATCATGCATGTGATCATCTCTAACAAGCATGTAGCTTCAGCTCACTGCCATTGGTATGCAGTAAATTGTAGTGTAAGAAATATATTTATTTAAATTGACAGACTTGTGTCAGGGTACAAAGTTCATGTTGCATGTGGAATTAGATCCAACAATTTTATTCCCACTTCACATATAAAAAAAGACCTCATGTAATTTTCTACAATTTGTAAATTTGCTATTAAAGGTACTTTTGTGTATAATAGAAGGAAGAATATTAAATTATAAAAACACTACAAAAGCAGTTAAATTTACAGGTTACATGCACACTTGGTTTCTTATAGATACTTATAAGGAATGAATATTAGGAAATCATCCTAATGTTTATCTAATCTCCAACTTGTGTTGCCACATATACATTTTCTGAAGCCGTACATTGAAAATAATTTCATTTCAATATAAATCTAAAATTGAGGACACGTTTCACATACTATACTGCATATCAAACATTATTTCTGTATATTTTACCTACAAAATACAGTCAATTCACTTTATAGTATACTCTGTGAAGCACTTTGAAACGTAATAAGGACTATTATTATTATTTCTGTGTATGACTAGCAAATACTCTTACTTATGGCATATGCTTCTATATTTTCAGGTGTCAGAGCAAGGAAAACACCTCCATCTTCCAAGTCTAGTGTCAAGAAAGGAAAGAAAAAGAACCCCTGGTCTGATCCTGAATCCAAATCTGATAGTGATCTAGAAGAATCTGAATTAACATTTATTCCACGAGAAATCGCACCTCGTAGAGCTGCAGGTGATTGATGGAGATGTCCTAATATGTGTCTGAAGCCAAAAACAATAATTTGCTTAACTGTCAATCCATCAGATAGATAATCTGGGTGCAGCATTAAAGCAAGTATTTCCCTAATGCAGTTTGATTGTAATTGATGATTCTAGATGTTAAATATACAGTATTTCTGGCAGGACAAAATGTTCGGCAAGTTCCTCCACATGCCTCTGTTTGTGGGATATTGCTGTGTGCAATTGGCTGCCGTGTTTCGCCCACATGATATACAGTCAATTCACTTTACAGTATATTCTGTGAAGCGCTTTGAGACGTCTCAAAGACGTGATAAGGCTCTATATCAAATGCAAGGATTATTATTATTCAACATAAGTCATATCAGTCTGGTACATAATACTTTATATGATTTATGCAAAGTCCGACTTACAACAAACTACGTTGTACAAATCCAATTTATTCAATACTTTTCTCATGCATAATTCAATGCAGCCGGTAAGTGCCCATGCAGTGACCAGTCAAGACTATGTTTTCTGAGATTCATTGTGTCCTGACCTATTGCTACATTGGAATCACATTGCATCGCGGGAAATGAAGCTATTCTACGTGTGCTTCGATGGGCCAGGATGTCATTTCCTGCGATTCAGTGTAGCCAGTAAGTGGGAGTAGTGGAGGGTAGGGGAGCAGCGTTATGAGTTAAGGGGTGGTAAATACAACTAGTGCAAAGAAATGGTTTTGGTAGGAAACTGAATGGGACTTGGGTGCATATACGACTTAGGTGATTTATATATGATTTACAATGATTTTCAATTGAATATAAAGAGTACTGGATTAGCAGATAATGTATGCCAGCAATAAATGTCCAAAGTAAAATTGGTGTGCACAGTCAATAGAATAGTGTATTTCCCCCCCTCCCCCCACTCACCACGCACACATAAAGGATCGAATTTCCCAGGAGCAACAGGGCTGCTGTAATAATGTATTTTACATCTATAAACCAAGCCCTGACTTTGAGATTGCTGAAGGATAGGCACAAATTGGAATGTCCCCCCTTGAGAAGTTTGTGCCTTCGTTCCTCCGGGTCGCGCCGCCTCCCCGTCCCCCGAGTTCCCTGCTCCACCCTCGGCGGCCGTGCCTTCAACCACTATGCCCCGAGACTCTGGAATTCCCTTCCTCACTTCCTTCACCTCGCCCCCTCTCTTCCTATTTTCAGGTCCCTGTTGAAGACCTTTCTTTTCGACTGCGCCGTTGGTCACCTTCCTCCCCCTCCCCCTGGTTCGGCCCCGGGATCTGTTATTGTTACTGAGACGCCGTCCGACGTGGAGGGCACTATATAATAATTAATAATAATAATCCTTGCATTTGATATAGCGCTTTTCATGTCGGGGGGACGTCCCAAAGTGTAAATCAAAGTTGCTGCTGTTGAGAAGGAATTTCTTTTTAAATATAGTAACACTTTATAATTCTGGTTGGAGGAAGATGGAAGTATCTACATGCTCTTCATTCCACTTAAAAATGTTACAGATTGAACTTCAGATACAGCTAGTTGGTAATTGCATAGTAGCAATACTTATTGTGGAGTCCTGTAGCTTAGTGGTTAGAGCACTAGCCTCTCAAGCGCGAGACCTGGGTTCGATTCCTGGCAGGGCAAAACCTTGCGCAAGTTTCCTTACTCCACACGCCTAATAATAATCTCTCAAGAAAAAAACAAACAATAATAAATTGGTCACTTCAATCCACAGCTGTTGGCTGTCGCGTTTCGCCCACAAATATACAGTCAATTCACTTTACAGTTTATTCTGTGAAGCGCTTGAGACGTCTAGAAGACGTGAAAAGCACTATATCAAACGCAAGGATTATTATTATTTAGAGGAGAAAAATATGCCAAATTCTTTATGTTATTTAAAAATTTGTTGATGTAATTTCCTGGGATATTTCAAAAAGAATTATCGACATTTTTTCCTGTGCTATAACTTTTTATTTCTTACTTACTCTGCTCCCATAGACAAGTAAATACTTTTCATAATAATAAATGATAATACTATTATTAAATGAATACTTTCCCATTAAATGGGGTTAGAATTTGCTAAACTGCTTGGTAGGAGGGGGGTGCGATGCTGGAGAAGTGGGAGAGACCATCTTGGTTGGATAGTCTTTTTACCCTAGCAGTTGTACGAAACACGTCTGTCTGTTTAGGTGGACAAGTAGTAAACTTATGGAGCAGGCTCCATAGAGAGACGGTGCAAGCAGAACATGTCATTTGTTTCAAGAGCAAATTAGAATACCTTCCTGCTAGAAAATAATATCTCAGTGTATAGTTTGGGACACGACATGTCAAGCGATTGCCAGGATGGTGGAAGGCGTACTAATGGACCTTGGTCTTCTTTCGCCTAGCAAATCCTTACGTTTTTATGACATTAAAGATCTCATAGTACTATTTGAAAATAGAAGGGAGTTTCTCCTGATGGTCTGGCCAACAATCCCCAGATAAAATTTAGTCATTCACTTGTTGACTGCTTGTGGGACACTGCTGTGGGTTGACAAATTCACCCAATGAATTACACAGTTCTACCACTTTGCAATATATCTTGTGTATGGGCAACACAAGCTAGTACATGTATTTCTCTGCAACTATGATCGTTTTGGGACGTCGTCCTCATGTGAAAAGCGCTATACCAAGTGTAAGGATTATTTTTATTACTGTTAATTGATTGTGTACTTAACCTTTGACTCTTTTTAAACCTTAGCTGAAAAACCGAAGTACACTTTTGATTTTTCTGAAGAGGAACCAGATGATGAGGAATTAAAGATGAGATCAGAGTCTCCAAGTATAGAAGAAAGGGATGCTGAGTTTGTTCCTTCAGATAGTGGTGGGAAGGATGATGAAGATGACATCTTCTTCTCTACTAAATCAAGGCAATCATCTTCACAGTGAGTAAATGATTTGTATTCCTTGTGTACAATTTTCAAATATTTATTCCATATTTTTTTCTTTGAAGATAATCATTGATAGTACGGAGTTACCACCTTTGCTACATGCTTGAAATAGTGGGGGAGGTGGGCAACACGGGCACATGTATTTCTCTGCAGCTATCCGCTATGCAAGCGTCATTAGATAGTAGGTGGCAAAGGAAGTTTGATGCAAGATAGAATTTTTGGTTTTAGAAATATTTGGTTCTATCTTGGTTACTCGTAGTTTTTCCCTGTTATATGTGAAAGTTGAACAAATAGGGAACTGTGATCATTTCACACTTCCTTTTAAGGAAATTTACATATTTAGCCGTTAGGCCTTCAATTGCAGGCAGTCTCACGATTATTCATGGAGAATTACTGACAAGTTTATTTATCATAAGTCCCTCTTAATTTGGACGCTAATATTGGTTTAGAGATTGACACCCTATCAATCAGCTAATGAAATACCTGCAATGGGGCTGGCAGAAGGAAGCTTGATTATGGTTCTAAAATTAAAAATAGATAGAAAAGATTAGACTATGGAGAAACTCATAAAATGAATTTAATAAAATTAAGGATGGTGGATGAATAAAGGATAAATTGTCTTTCATATATGTTATAGCAATAAAGCTATTTCTGATGTTCCAACAGCTATTACTGTACTTCCCATGTCACAGTTGAAAATGTATAGAACTGGAGATGAGGTTCTATGGAAAGTGTTAAATGGATGATTTCTAACCTTCTTCAGTTGGACGTTAACAGAATCAACATGCTCTTGCTTTCTTATTTATTTTTACCTAATTTTGAAGCACTTCGAGATGCTACCCCTTGTGAAGGGTGCTTTATAATTGCATGTTGTTTTTGCTTCAGTGCCTTTCCAATGCTCTGACCGCATCGACACGCACAGATGCTCACTCCACCTTGCATAGCTGGTGTGAATCCTTGATGTCTTGTTCGATCCCGATCTGTCTTTCAATTTCTACATCTAGACTCATTTGCTCACGTATCCTCACCTCTGCAACATCGCCCACCTCCGCCACTACCTCTCCTTCCAGGATGCCAAGACCTTCATTCACAGTTCATTACCTCTAGGCTTGATTACAACAACAACAACAACAAAATTACATTTATAGAGCACCTTTCTCATCGGGAGGATGTCCCAAGGAGCTGGACAGTCGGGTCAGGATCCGAGGATGGGGGAGGGGTGGGGTAGGAGTGAGGGAAGGCAGAGCGATGGGAGGGCGACTGAAGGAGGGTCTTGAGACCGGCCTTCAAGGAGGCAAGGGAGGAAGCGAGGCAAAGGGACTGTGCAGTTCCAGAATGTGGGGGCAGAGAGACTGAAAGCCCGGCCACCTGGTAGGGCGAGTTGGGCAGGAGGCATGGAGCAGGCCGGAGCCCGCTGAACGGAGGGAGCGGGCAGGTTGGTAGGGAGTCAGCAGGTCAGAGAGGTAGGAGGGTGCAAGGCCATGGATGGCCTTGAAAGTGAGGATGAGGATCTTGAACTCGATCCTCTGGGGGATGGAGAGCCAGTGGAGTCAGGCAAAGGTGGGAGTGATGGAGTCATGATACCTGGTGCGCGAGAGTACACGAGCTGCAGAGTTTTGGATGATCTGCAGCTTGTGAAGGGAAGAGTTGGGAAGGCTGATGAGGAAGGAGTTTCCATAATCGAGCCTTGATGTGACGAATACTTGAGTGAGGGTTTCGGCAGCCTGAGGGGTGAGGCAGGGTGGAGTCTGACAATGTTGCGGAGGTGGTGGTAGGCAGTGCTGGTCATGGTACGGATGTGGGGGAGAAAGGACAGTTTAGGGTCAAACAAGACCCCAGGTTCCTGACTAAGTGAGGTTGAGTGTGCAGCCATGGAGGCTGATGCTGCCAGAGCCCGAGGTGCGGAGGCGCTGGCGAGAGCGAATCAGGAGGGCCTCGGTCTTGCTGACGTTCAGTTGAAGAAAGTTGTCCCTCGTCCAGGACTTGATGTCGGACAGGCAGTCGGTCAGGTCGCCAGTAGTCCTGGAGTTGAGGGTGGAGGCAGAGAGATAGAGTTGGGTGTCATCCGCATACATGTGGAAATTTATCCCATGTCTGCGGATGATGTCACCAAGGGGGAGCGTGTAGAGGGTGAAGAGGAGGGGACCGAGGACAGATCCCTGAGGAACACCACACAAGACAGTGCGGGGGCTGGAGGAGAAGCCGTCTGCAGAGACGAAGTGGAGGCGGTGTGAAAGGTAGGACCTGAACCAGTCGAGAACAGAACCTTGAAGGTTGAGGTGGGAGGAGAGGCGGTGGAGGAGGATTGAGTGGTCCACGGTATCAAAGGCGGTGGAGAGGACGAGGAGGCAGAGGGAGCTCTGTTCACACATGGTCAGGATGTCATTTGTGACCTTGACCAGAGCAGTTTCCGTGCTGTGGGCAGCACGGAAACCCGATTGGAGGGGTTCATGAAGGGAGTGGGAGGAGAGGAAAGAGCGACGCTGGAAGGCAACGGCTCTCTCAAGGACCTTAGATAGAAAAGGGAGGTGGGAGATGGGTCGGTAACTAAATAGCTGTGAAGGGAAGGTTTCTTCAAGGTGGGAGTGATAATGGCTGTTTTGAAGGGGGTAGGAACAGTGCCAGGTGACAGGGAGAGGTTGATGATGTCGGCAAGTAGTGGGGCAAGGAGGTGGAGCTGGGATTTAAGAAGAGGGGTGGGATTGGGATCCAGGGAGCAGGTGGTGAGCTTCATGGACGATATGGTGGTGATGGGGGTGACAGGTTCAAAGGTGTGGAAGGAGGTCTGGATAGTGGTCAGAGTGTGGGGTCGGGGTAGGGAGGGGGTGGAAGTTGGGAGGCCATTGGCAGCTGAGCGGATTCCCTCGATTTTGGACTCGAGGAAAAAGTCCAGCATTTTCTCGTAGTGGGAGTTGGAGGAAAGAATCTGCGAGGGGTGGTGGGGAGGGCGGATGAGCCAGTTGATGGTGGAGAACAAGAGCCTGGGGTTGCCCTTCGCTTCCAGGATTAACCTGGAGTAGAAGGACGATTTGGGAGAGGGGAGAGCGGAGTGGTAAGTTTTGATGTAGTCCAGCCAGGTGTGCTGTTGGACCATTAGGCCGGATTTGAGCTAAGTGCGTTCAGCAGACCGCACCTTGATTTTGGGGGGCGGTTAATTAGGAGAATTTTTAGTCAGAGATGGGAGGGATGGCCGAGGTTAAGGTGTTCAAGAGAGGGGAATGAGTCAGTGGAGCAGGGGAATAGGACAAGTGACGCCCTGGAGATGAGGGCCACACCATCTGGAGATGATTATTCCAACACTCTATTCTCTGGATTACCCAGCTCCTCCTAAACAAGCTTCATACCATCCAAAACTCTAAAACCTATGTGCTATTCCGCACCACTCTCTGTGACCCTATTAACTCCCCCATCCCACATTCTTGCTTGGCTTTGCTTACTCTCCACTCCCCCAGTCGATCGAATTCCGGATGCTTGTCCTCACATTGATCTGGAAGGTCTTGTAGGGGGTGATAGATTGGACATCATTAACATAACAGAGATACGGTGGAATGAATCCAATCAATGGGATACACATCTGGAAGGTTATAAGCTGTTTAGGAGGGACCGTATGAGGAGAAGAGGAGGTGGTGTGGCACTATATATAAGCTCCATTATTGAGACACAAGTGAGAGAGGATATAAAAAAGGAAAGGGCAGACACAGAATCACTTTGGGTAGAATTAAAAGATGGTAACAGGTAAGCTATTACTGGGGGTCTGATATAGACCATCAAGCCAGGATGACAGCCTCGATCTGGAACTGTGGAATGAGATAAGGAAGGCTACCAGTAAGGAACCATCCATTGTGGGTGGAGGTTTTAAGTTACCTGAACTTGATTGGGATAATAATGTGTCTACTGGTAAGATAGGAAAAGGGATTCTTGAGTTAAAGGAAGACTGTTTTATGATTCACTTTGTAAAAGAGCCAACAAGGGGAGATAACATCTTGAATTTCATAATGAGCAACAGGGATGACCAAATCTCCAACGTAAAGGTGGGAGAAGCATTAAGCAACAGCAACCACAATGCATTCACATTTGACATCACAAGAGTTGGTGAGGTCCTAAAAAACACCAACAGAACTGCCAAATTTCAAGAGGACTGACTTTGGGTGCTTGAGAAATCTAGTCGGAGTGGGCCTGCAGGCTGTATAAATCATTGGTGAGACCATATTAGAGTACTGTGTACAGTTCTGGTCGCCGCAGTACAAAAAGGATATTGGAGAAATCGAGAAGATATAGAGGAGGGCAACCAGAATGACTGAGGGAATGGAAGGATTGGACTATGAGGAGTGACTAAGTAAATTGGGCATGTTCACTCTGGAAAAGAGAAGATTGAGAGACAACATGATTGCTATCTTTAAGGTTCTAAAGGGGCTAAACAATATAGATCATGACAGGCTATTTCAACTTGTCCAGACTAGTAAAACCAGACAACACAGCTTGCGATTGAAGGAGGTAAATTCAAAACAAATCTACCAAACACTATTTTAGTGAATGAACAGTAAACCTGTGGAATAGGCTCCCTAGGGAGCCAGTTGAAGCAGGAAGTATTGATTCTTTCAAACATAGACTAGGTAGTTTCTTTTAGGAAATAACATTATGGGATATAGTACATAGGTAGTTTGGAACATATGTGCCTGCGACTATCAGTAAGATAGAAGGCAAACTAGATGGACCTTGGTCTTTTTTCGTCTAGCATTTCTTATGTTCATATTTAAATCCCTCTAGGCCTTGCGTGACCCTATCTGCAACCTCCTAAAACCATACTAACCTGAATGCCTCGTCTGCTCAGCTAATGGCAGCCGGCTTCATATCTCCTGCCTGATTGGTCCCACCACCAATGAACAAGCTTTCAGCCATTTTACCCCAGAGTCCTTGGAACTCCATCCCTGCTCTCTGGAACTCCACCTTAGAGTCCCTTCGTGTTGCCCCTGATTCCCTACTTTTAAAGTCTGCCTTAGACTAGCCTAGAAAAAGTATTTTCTATTGTACTATCAATCAGCTTCTTTCCTAAGCCCCCCCCCTCCTCCTCAGCTGTCTTCCTTTTTCCTCCCCCCTGCTAAAAATAATCTTAAGTACCCTGTCAGCTGTACGAAGCATGTTGAGACCACCCAATATGAAAGGATGCTACATAAATGTACATTTTGTTTGTAAAAGAACAGAAATAATTCTGTCAAAAAACATGAGCGGGGTTATTACGGAGTGAACAATACAATCTCTGATGAACAGATATTTAAATTGGTAACGTAGTAAGGTTCTGAAATACAACTTAGTTTTGTAACAGCATTTGTAAACTTTTTTTTCTGATCTAGTGCCCGGAAAAGTACTCTACAGCCCACAAAAAACCATGAGCCAGAAAGTATATTCTCTGCACCATCGTATCTTGAAAGATCAGAGGAAACTGGTAGGTCAGATTACTAAGTATTAAAGATATTAAATTCAGTTACATTTTCTGCGGGAAATAAAGAACTAACTTAATATTTATGATTGTTGCAAAGAATTGTATAAGTTGTCTTGTTTGACCGCCAACTGCCTTTTAAACCCCAAACCTGTGCCATTACTCATTCTGCCTCCCCCACCCCGCGAAACATTACCTGCTTCTGCCACTGCCTCTCACCTCAGGCTCTTGTCCTCAGGAGACCTTCATCCATGCTTTGATTATACTGCCTGCATACTCATCCACACTTAACTCCAGACCCCAATCACACCAGTTCTGGCCTGGCTCCCTATCGTCGAACGGATCGATTTCAAGATCCTCACACCGGTTTTCAAATCCCTTCATGCCCTGGCACCTCCCTAACTCTCTGATTTACTTACTCCCAACCCACTACCCGCTCCTTCTGCATGTCCCTTCTGGCCTCTGTTCCGCCATCGATGGCAGCGCTTTCAGCCACTATGCCCAAAACTCTGGAACATTGCCTCTATCCCTCGGTCTTACCCCTTCCTTCCCATCTTAAGGTCAAGCCTGAAGACCTTGCTGTTCGACTGTGCCTATAGTCACCTACCCTCCCCCGGGCTTGGCCTCATGCTCTACCACTGTCGAGCACTCTGGGACGCTAGCTACCCTGTGTGAGGGGTGCTATATAAATGCAAGTTGTTGTTGATTATGTCCAGACTTGACTATGCTAACTCTCGGCTCGCTGGACTTCCCTCCACAAGTTGTAGATTTTTCAGAACTCTACAGCACATGTCCTCTTTCTTAAGCACTTAAGCTCTGTGAGCCAATCACCCCCATCCTCTCCCGGCTTCACTGGCTCCCCATCCCTCAGAGGATCAAGATCCTCGTTCTCACTTTCAAAGTCCCCCATGTTTTTTTTTTCTCCCCACCTATTCGACCCACTAAAACATTACCGACCTGTCTGCTCCCTCTACTCGGTGGACACTGATGTGCTCCATATTCCCCCCCCCACCCCCCACCAACTGGAATTCCATCCTGGTGCCCCTCTGTCTTGCTTGCCTCTTTCAAGTCCCGTCTCAAGACTTTCCTCTTTGATCACCCCTTCAGTCATCTTCCTACCTCTACCCCCTTGCACTCCATCCCTCTCGACTCCAACCCCCAGCTCAGGTTTAAACCCTTGTGACGTCCTCCCGACATGAGGTCAACATATAAATGCAATTTGTTGTTGGATGTATGTTTTCTATATCAATAACTCTTAACAATAAGGACTTACTGAACCAGTTTCAATAAAATTTATTTATTCATTTGAGTGATCAAACATTTCAGATCTAGTTACCTTGAAGGTATTTGGTATCTTCATAGCCTTCAACCAAAGTTTGTTCTAATATGGTCCAGTTTTGTAGATAGAAGTCTCATGATCTGATCAGGTTTCCAACCTGCCTAATTTGTACAAAAATATTGCATTTGGTTGATAGTTCAAATAAGACCGCTAGACAAAATCCTAGCTGCAGAGTGAGCAAATGAATGGAGTGGGCTGGCGATCAGGAAGAGCATATCAGTGCATGTGTGTGGGTAGCTTCCTTCATTCTGTGGTCAGTTATTTTTTCCAAGTTACCTTTCAAAAATGAGTCAAGATCCTCTCTACTGATTATTCAGTGATCTCTTTCTCGAAATGTGTGGACATTGATTGTTTAGAATCAGCAGTGATACCCCACAGTCATTAGCACCTTCAGGAGAAGAGGCAAGAAAATTAGGAGGAAGAAAATTGACAGATGAGCCAAACTGCAAGATTTTCAGAAATCTTTGTATCTGAAGACCTTTTATTTTGTGTAACGTTTTAGCTGTACACGGAGACTTGATCTAGTGATGTCCGTTGTTTCTCTCATCGGATTTTCAATATTCTATCAGAATATTTTATATAACGTATAAATAAAATGAAAACAAATGCAACAGTTGAAGATAAATTTAAGTGCTTAAATGTTTTTGCTGAATCTTTTGTTACATTTCATATGGGTTAATCTTTTAATAAGCATGAAAATTCATTGGGAAAAACTCTTCAAAGTTGTTAGGGCAGCATATCTAGGTAAATGTTTAACGTGATGGGTATGGATTACTGTCCCTAATTCATTCCGCCTCCATGTATATGCTGACATACTACAGGGGAAATATCCAATTACTTAACAACGAAATATAAAACACTATTTCTAATTAAGAAATTAACAACATTTTCTCACTCCATTGTTTGCCACACTTAGTTTTAATTCCATTGTTAGGGGCCTGAACAAGAGAAAATATTCACTGGCTTTAGTTTATAGTAGACCGCTCTGAATAATTTCTCGTTCATTCAATTTCTATGTAGAAATGTACAATTATAAGAACTAGTACTTAAGAAATTGAAGTTTATTTTTTCTTGGGTGGTGACATGATAAGGTCTTGTTCTAAATCATGCCTTTTTGTGTTATTAACTATTTGACTGTTGTTTCCACACACTGAAATGTTATCTTCTAATCATTTATTGATCTCCACATCCCGTTTGTCTATTATTGATGAGTAGTGTGAGTTGGATTTGTGATCTTGTGGGTGTTTTTTTGTGATCTTTTGGATGAGTATTCTGGAAGGAGGTAAAATGAGCCAACAGGCCTTCTTTATCCAATCCAATCTTGTAATCTTGTGAAAACCTTTTGTGGAAGAGACATTAACTAATGGATACTTGTCTAGATTTGTGTAGCGATTGATTGATTGCAAAGGAAACTTTCAGTCCTTCAGCTCTTATCAGCCAGGTATCTGTTGCATGGAGAAACTCATTGCTGTACTTAAGAGTATCTAAAAGAGACTGAATTCCATATATGTAGACCACCTCAACTCAGCTCCAAGGCGGTCCACATAACTCTCCCTGGAAGATAGTTTCAGCTTTAGAAACAAGTGAATGTAACAATTGAGCTTGAATAGTTTTCATTTGTGGCTTGAAATAATTTAACTTTTTTCTTGTCCACAGATCTCTTAAAGTCAGACAGTGATGAAGATTCTTCCCCAGCCTTTTCATCTCTCAATCCTGTCAAGAGTTCACCTAAGCCTTCTATCAAAACGCAGACCTTGACACCTGCTGCTAAAAAAGGTATTATAAAATATTTAGCTTTACTTTTGATTGCGATTACCAATGATGATGGTCAGTTTTGAAAGAAAGTTGGCATCAATAACCTGGATTGTACTAATGTAACTTAGGGAGCCTGAAGAAGTATTTTCTCTGAACTATTCTTTTCCGCACTACTAGATCAGCAATTTAGTTAGAATTTTTGTATAGGCATGTTTTTCTAGTTGGGAAACATTTCTTTCTTAAGTGTCTATTGCTATTTTCTGTCAAGAGTCAACCATTTCAACATTCACTGCTATAGTTCAAGCGTACATGTTTCAATGTATTTTTTTTTGAAAAGGGTATAGTGTGACCCAATTAGGTTTTTAATTAAATTTTGTAACTTTGTACTTGTGTTTAATAAGAAGCTAAAGTCTCAGTATTATTTTTAGTAATTTTTATTTGCAGATTTTACTGCAGAACTTTGGTAAACATGCCTATATTTTATTCAGTCTCCTTATTTAGATGAATCTTGTGTTTTAAAATATTTCAAAATCAATAGAAACATTGTTATTTTAAGATAAGTGCCTTCTTAGTCTTGGTCAGTCTAACTTTTCAAAGATGTGATAACCTAGGTAAAAGAAGCACTAAGCCACACAAACCAAAAAGTTATAGGCTCCTGTTTAATTTTGTTAGCTGATTTCAACCAAGAATGCAGTTGAGATGCAACTATTAAACCTAACATCTCTAGGCTGGGAAGAATAGTTTGCAACTGCTAATCACTATATAGTGCCCCCTGCTGGAAATTCGGGGCTTGGGCTGGATTTGGTAATCCAGGCCTCTCGGGCTGAATGAGCAGATAGATAGATTTTCACTGCTAACTGCACTAATTCTGCAGTTTAACTATACCAATGCCAAGATAAGGTCCAAAAGTTAAATTTTCAGTTGTCTTTCTTAATGATTGCTGTGTAGTTTAAGGTTTTTGTTTGGTCAGCTGACATTTGCAAAACAATCTCACCATGTTTAAGAGAAATTAAACCAGACAAAGTTCCATATATGTATACCACCTACACGTGGAAATTTCTGTGTCTGGATTTCAATGCTCTCCCCAGAGGGATACTCAGAATATGTTGAGGTACTGCTGGAATTTAACCAGCTAAAATTGTATAGCTTTCCATCGAGAGCACTGTCTGACAAGCTTCCCACTGCTTGTCCACCTAGGACCACCCTATCCATTTGGCTTGGTTAACAAGAGCTGAGTGGGAAGAGTCCCTGCTCCCAGGATATCCCTATGTTTGGCTTAGGAACTGTACCAGTTCAGCTCCAAGGAGTACCTGCTTATCTCCCCTTTTTGTCTACCCCCCTCTCACGGCTGTCTATGGAAGCCAGCTATATGCTAAGTTGCTGCCACATTGCCTGGAGCATCGTTATTACACTTCACAACAATTATTTCTGAAGCACTTTGAGACATTTCTACTTTAAAGTTATATCAAATGCAAGGATTATTTACTCGAAAAATTGGCTTTGAACTCACAAGACTATGCTAACAGCAGCATAGTTTGTCTCAAGCCAGTTAAGGCAGTTGTCTTATTTAGAAATTGGCCATATTTGTAAAATTACATGCTAAGTTGTTACAAAATTTGCCCTTCCTAACTTTTATTTCAGTCACTTCCTGGCATAGTTTGACTGCTATTGGACCAACAGTACCACTTAGCTTGAATGTGTTTACTTCTCAATCAGAAATGAGGTTCTATCACAATATTCCAATATCCTTGGAATGATTTTGACCTACAAATACACAATGAAATCAAATGAAGTGCCTTGAGATGTCCTTCCAGCATGAGGGTGCTGTATCAAATGCAAGAATTATTTAGGATTATTATTATGACTTGTCCAATCATTCTTGACAGCTGTATCCTCTCATCCCTGATGACATTCTTGTAAATCTACTCTGTCGTACTGGAGAGAGTTTACAATGTCCTTCCTCCAATATGGCAACCAAGAATATAAATGATACTCCAAATGTGGTCCAACCAGAATTTTACATAAAATTTCCCATCTCTCATTGTAAAGCGTGTTCAAATAATCTTCATCCTCAGATATGACTTGATCCCTTTTTTCTTGCAAATTACATTCAAATCTCTCTAGGGCCAACCTTAACTCTGCACTCTCTTGCAATGCTACCAACCCAGCTACTCCCTTTATTAGGCGATCAGCAGCCCAATTAATGTCCCCTATTTAGTGCCCCACTATTAGTCGGTGAGCTTTCAGCTACTCTGCTCCTGCTCTCTAGAATCTCATCCCAGAGTCCCTCCATCTTGCCTTCTCCCTCCCCACTTTCAAAACCCACCTTGAAACTTCTTCCTCTTTATGCTTTTGGTTATTTTTCTTCTCTTCTCCACACCGCCCCCACACACACTTCTTCAATATCCTCTCCTAACTCTGGTGCAAGTGCCCAGACAACTGGGTAAAGCACTTTGAGACAACCTCCTAATGTGAAAGGTGTTACATAAATGCACATTGCATTGTATGATGGGAAAGTACTTTTTATTTTCAGCATCTTTTGTGAGTAGTTGCTTTTGGATGGGTGGAGAGGAGAGTTAAAACTGCTAATTTCTGTTGGTTTGATTTCTGCATGATGATGTCAGATGTATTACTATTCTCATTTACATCCAGTATAGAAGAGAACCGCACCCTCAACTGTCTATCTTCTTGTCTGTACTTTTGCATTCTCTATTTCAGCTTTACAATAAGTTTAGTATTGAGTATTAGTAAGGATTTTAGTATTAATTGTAGCTATACCTTCGTTGGTTTGGGTTGTCTGTCAACTATATCACCTAAAACTATCTGATACCTTTTCCTCATAATTGAGTCCTTTTACTTCCTGGTGGTCATTGCCATATGTACGTCATGGTCAATCGTTGCTATGTACAAATTAGCTGCCATATTTGGCTACAACTTACACTGTCACTGCACATTACAGTATATCCTGTGAAGCGTTTTGACACGTTTTGAAACCAAACATTTCCAATAGTAACGCTTTCCAGATTGCAGCTCACAGTGCCAGATCTCTCTCTTCTATTTTCTTCCCCCCCATACACACACGGTCTTCTTTCCCCTCATTTTTCTCCTCCCCCTTTCTGCCTGCATCTTTTGCTCTTTTTCCCTTTCTATCAAACCCTATACTGTGCCTGTAACAGATCTCTCATGAGAAACAACAGTCAGTATTGCTTTGTGTTGAAAATCCCCCTGCTGGTTGAAATGACATGCAACTGCATATTTTGGCCATGGAAGCTTTACTACCCTCGGGTCATAGTGGTTATCCAGCATTAGGATGTGATGCATGCACCTGTAGTAGCACAACAATCGTATCAAAGCTCTAGTGTTGAAAATGTGACAACTTTTGCAACTGACAGTTTAATTTGCTTACATTTTCTTCTTTTAACGGTCCCAGAGCTTTCAATATTTTTATCTGATCTTTTTGTCCAGCTGTCAAAAAAACATCCAATACTGATAATGCAGGCAAACCTAAGCGACCACCTAAACCTAAGAAAGTGGAGCATGGGGACTCTGACTCTGACTTGGGCTTTGGGATGCCAAAAAAGGTAGCAGGAGCAAAAAGGAAGCAGTCACCGAAACCTAAGAAAGCAGAACGTATGGACTCAGACTCTGAATTAGATGTGGGTTTTGGCATGGCAAAAAAACTTGGAGGAGCAAAAGGTAAGCAAATATTTTGGTCCAGCAAAATTGTTTTGAAGTTTACTTTAAATGTACCTCTCTGACAATAATGCCGAACAATCATTTTTTAGCTAAAGGTCGGGGAAGGAAAAGGAAACAGTCTGGTTCTGAAGATGATGAATATTCCCCTGTGAAGAAGCCTAGCAAGACATCATCAGTGAGCAAGGTTTGTATTACCACATGGGGAAAAAAGGGAGGGAGTAGAAAATACACTAGATATATTTCAGCTGTTTTGCTTTTCTGAACTCTTTAAAGAAATAGAAGAATTAAACATTCATTCTTTCTTCAGTGTTCTACTTGTATTGTATTTTGATGGTTGGTACATTCTGCTAGGATACAGGTTATAAGAGTGGTGTCCTTTCAAGATGTCATGACATTAGGGATATTGCCCATATGATCCCTTCCTTCCCAGTGATCTATCTAACTATGTCCTTAATATGGTATTTGGTAAATGGTATTTTTTGCCATCTCCCTGTGACCAATTTCCAGAAGCTTGAGTTAATTCTTGCACAAGCCTCTGTAAATTCATTACTCCTATCTTTGCAAAGTTCCTTTGCTTTAGGATTGAGTTTAAGGAATTTTCCTGGTCTTCAATTCCTTCGTGGTCTTTCCCTGCCCTACTTATGCAAACTTCTATGACTCTACAAAAGTGGCTGCACTCTCCACTTTTCTACGTTGGGCTGCTATTTGTTCCCCATTCTCTCTATTTCATGATTGTCGGTCTAGCCCTAAACCACAATATCTTCTGGAATTTTTCCGACCGTATTTCCTTGCACTCACTCTTCAAAACGCTCAATTATATCTCTTTAAACATGGTTAACATCTTTAAATCTCTTATTTAAGTGATTTGGGAAGTTTTACATGTAGAGTACTCTAATTTCAAGGTGGTGTTCTTTCAAAGAATTAAAAAGAATACAATAGATGAACAAATCAAAACAATATTTAGTGAATATTTTTTTAAATGTTCACTAATGGTGGCTTTTTTCATCAAATAAAGTGGAAATTAGAGCAAGCTTGCAAATAAACTATTGTAATCTAGAATAATTTGCACAATTAAATTTTCTTCTAAGTGTTGGTTCTGTGTTTAAAATAGTCAAATCTCCCAATGGTTCTGATTGATTTTAAAAATGACTTATTTTATAAAAATCCTAGAAACCTAAAAAGTCAGTATACGACGACGGAGATGGTGACAATGGTTTTGAGACAGCTGACAACTTCCAACCAAGCACACTTTCTGATGCATCTCAATCAAGGCTCGGCCGAACCAAGAAAGAAGTGAAATATTTTATAGAATCAGATGAAGATGACTTTGAGGATATGTATGATTAATTGTTCCAAAGGTTACAATAACCTCCAGCAAAATAATGTATCTTGTGTCCCTTTATTTTTGTCTCTTCTGTCTGATTCTTTTGTACATTTGGCTCGTTTTTTTGTGAAATTGTACCTGTTTTTATTGTGTGTAGATGTTTTTAACATTTTATCATTCATACATGCAATTTTATTCACTTTTTTACTTATTATAAACTTCATGTATGTTTTGAGTAGCCTTGTAGAAATGTGATAGATTGCTAAAAGCACACATTTTAACTGTTTTAAGTGAAGAGGAATTGCAAACCTGAATGCTTTTTTTTAAAATGAACTTGAAATAAACTTTTAGAAATGGACCCACCTGTTTGAATACTATCATTAATGCAAAGCAGATTTGTATAGTGTAAAAGTATAGAATGATTGGCGGCTCAGCCTTTAAACTACAATGCCTTCTGGAACTTTTATCAAGAAATCAATCAATCCCAAAGATATAAAAAAAATCTGAAAAAAAAGTTAATTAAAAACAAAAGAAACATATTAATTCTCTGAAAAGAGATCTCCAAGTGAACATTATAGAGTTATATATGCTTACCTTTTCTCTTCTCTCCCCACCCCGGAGGCGCTTGGGCTCCAAGGTCACATACTTGTCAATAGAATAATGGGATTGACTCATTCCTCTGTGGCAGTCGGGTTCCTGAACTAAGCAGCTCTGCAGTTTTTCAGGGCATTGATGCCAGACAAGCCTGACCTGTTTGTGGGGTATGGAGGAGCATCAGATTTTTTCCCAGTCTGTACCTGGAGTCTTGAAGCTCAGTGGTTAGAGCACTCGCCTCGCAAGTGAGAGACCTGGGTTTGATTCCCTGGCAGGGTGAAACAGGGCAAATTTCTTTACTCCATACTCCTCTCTGTTTACCAGCAGTAAGTAGGAACCTGGTTGTTAGTCGATTGGCAGATTGCTTTAACGGGGATAATAATTCCTTAAAAAAAAATTGGCCACTCAATCTATGGCTGTTTGTGATACTGCTGTTTGCGATTGGCTGCCGCATTTCTCCCACAAAACATAATCAATTCACTTTACAGTATATTCTGAAGCTCTTTGAGATGTCTTGAAGATATAAGGTGCTATATCAAATGGAAGGATTATTATTATTGGGTCAGTTAGTACTAGCTGGAGAAGCAATGGGAATTGCTTGTGAGTTCAATACAGATTCTGTAGTCCCAGAAAGCCTTGCCTCTTGCCAATTTGTACCTAAAATTGTTAAGATTAGGTAATCAGGTGCAACTATCCAGGGAGTGAGAGTGCATACCAAACATATATAGAACTTTCAGCAGTTTTCTTTTAAGACTCCTCAGCATAATGTTGGGTTTCTGTGTATATCAAACGCCTGATTAACTAAAAAAAACAAGTCCCTTAACAAAACGGAGAAAATAAACCCAAAACAAAACTTTCAAATACACCAAGACAACAGAGGAGAGAACAGGGTTAGGAGTATAAAGGAAACATTTGGGGACATACCAGGAAATATTTATTTTTGAACTGTAGGTCTTAAGTGCTGGGTGCTAGAAATGTATTTCTCAATATTTAGGTTGAGTGACTTATAAAGCTATACGTGCTGATGTGATTGTTGTGATGTGATGCGCTGATATTAAAAAAGAGCACAATGGTTGGAAAAGAGCAGAGAAACACCTAAGCAGTGGGGATCATCAGTCTGGTAGGACAATATTAATTATAACAAAAATTACTTGCGCCTCAGAGTGCCTCTCTCAATTTTATTGACTGGTGCCCAGTCAGTAGATTGAAATAACTTGAACTGAACCTTAGTGGACTTTAATTGAAACTTGAAGATAACTGTATACTCAGAATTCTTCAAAAAACAATTGATTGGAGGTTAATCTCTGTTAAGTAGAAGATTATGTTCAAGAAATGTTTTCTGATATTGAGTGAATTTGCCGTTATGTGTAATAGTTATTTCTTGCTGTACTGTTCAGTCCTTGAATTTTATTGGAATGGAGTCCAGATTGAGACAATGCTACTGTTATGCTGCAGGGTGTAGATTCAGCTTTTCACTGATTAATTTAACTGCTTAATTAATGGTTAAATTAATTTGACTAATTTATTTGTAGGTCAAATTGGAGATATTTTACTGAATTATTTTTTTCAATATCAACCATCAAGACAACACTTTTTTTAGGGATCCCGTACCCATTATTCTTACAACATAGAGTAATTTAACAGTTGGAACAGGATATCAGGAAGGATGTTTGAGGTCAAGACACTGGACTCATTTAATTTTGAATTGTGCTAAAATAAAGGGATGGTAGATTAAATGGGCCAAATAACCCTTTCTAGTGAAAAATTCATTTGTGATGTGAATGTCAAGTCTACAGCAACAACTACTTGTATTTATATAGCCCCCTTCATCTCAGCACTATATAATTGCAAGTATTTACAACAAAAACTACTTGCGCCTCGGAGTGCCTCTCTCAGTTTTGTTAATCTTATCAAAATAGTATCACATAATTGCCAAACAATAACAACTTGCATTTATATAGCTTCCCTCACACAGGGTAGTGTCCCAGAGCGCTTGACAGTTGCATAGCAAGACGCAGAGGGGTGAAGTGACCATAGTTACGGTCGAAGAGTAAGGCCTTCAGACGTGATCTGAAGATAAGGAAGGAACAAGGCAGAGTGATAGAGGAAGAGTGTAGAGTGTATCCTGGCTAGTGGAGTCCTGCAGCTCAGTGGTTAGAGCACTCACTTTGCAAGTGAGAGACCTGAGTTCAATTCCAGGCAGGGCGAAACCTTGGGCAAGTTTCCTTACTCCACACGCCTAATAATAATCCCTCCAAAACCAAAAACAATAATAAATTGGTCATTTTCAATCTACGACTGTTTGTGGGACATTGCTGTGCGCAATTGACTGCTGAGTTCGCCCACAAATATACAGTCAATTCACTTTACAGTGTGTTCTGTGAAGTGCTTTGGGACGTCCTCCCGACGTGAAAAGCGCTATATCAAATGCAAGGATTATTATTATTATTAATCTAACCTAGAGCCACAGAACTTTAGGCAGAATAAGATAATGCAATGATTCACTTTGTCCTGCTTTGTTACAAGCTAACTTGGTTAACATCCAGCAGGTTCTCTGTTTCTACACAGATACTTTGAGCAACCTGGGAGAGTTAGCAATGATAAAGCAGACTCAGAAATATAATTACTCACCTTTAGGTTTCAGAATCATTATTCAAACTAAAGTGAAAAAGAATATTTCTGATGCACACCCACACTTACAAATTTACACTTGTTCATCAGAAATTGTATTTGTCCCAAACAACTGCAAAATCAGTACTTTTCTCACTAAACCTTGTAAGTGAGTACTCACTCAGTGCAGTCGTGGCCTGTTGTTGAAGGTACCAATCTATGGATGAATTGTTATATAGAGGCCCCATCTGCCTATTCAGGTGGATGTCAATGATCCTGTGACACTATTTGAAAAGAGAAAGTTTCTCTCAGTGCCCTGGCCAACAATCCATGTATAATTCAATCCAAGACTGTTTGTGGGTCCCTGCTGTGCACGATTTGGCTGCCACATTTCGCCCACAAATATACAGTCAATTTACTTTGCAGTATATTCTGTGAAGTGCTTTGAGACGTCGAGAAGACATGAAGAGCGCTATATCAAATGCAAGTATTATTATAAAATTGGTCCTTCACTTAATGGCTGTGTTTGCCTATTATATAGTCATTACACTTTAAAGTAAATCCTGTGAAGCACTTTGAGACTTCATGACAAGACGCTATATAACAAATGCAAGAATAATTATTATTATTATTGCTAAGAATGCTGTTATGGTAAAGAGCTAAAGATGAAGGAGGCTGGGAGTGTGGAAGAATCAACATCTCACAGGTTCTGGCTAATCAAATCAAAGAGTCATATAGCTTCTAATATTCCTAGTTGCATTGTTTGCCTTACCTATGAAACACAGAGCATATATTTAGTAGAACAAGGATAAAAGCTAGATTTAAATGTGAATGATCCATGCTTTGGTAATCTTAAATACATTTTATAGAGGTCAGTATTTATATATGTTTTTATACAGAGAGAAATGTACAAAAGCCTGGACCCATATTTAAATTTTCATATCAATTTCTAATTTAGTTTTCTTCCATTTCTTCAGTTTTTCTTAAGACATGTGCATTTCTTTGTTGAAATGTTGGGTGGGATGCATGGAACTCTGGTTTGGATTCTGTTAAGCATGGTGATTGGTTTCGAATGTGTCAGACACTACCTGAAGAAAAAAAATCTTTGTTTCAACTGTTAGAATTGCTTCCAGTAATAATTGCATCACTTATATTTGCCACTAGATGGTGGTGTATGCAAGCATTTAAGTTTTATAATTGCACCTTTCGGGTCACCGAGTGACATTGTACAAAGATTATAATGACAATACAAGCTGTTTGGTGCAATTCTTTTATTCTGAAAATGTGATGATCCAGTGATGATAAATTACTACCACAATAAAATGAGACTCATTTACTCATCTATCTCATTGACCATTTAAAGAGAATGTTCTACTGGGGCAGACCATGGAACTGTAAGTTACACACCATCAGCCAGTTGAATTTATAAGTACTGTTATCAAATTACTTGATAGTCAAATAGATCTAGGCAATGAGACCAGTAGAGAAAAAAGATGTAGCACTATTCAAATGGAGTTGAATGCAGGTTTAAGTTCCAGAAACAGTGTAGGAAACACCAGCAGAGAAGCACAATGTTGGTAAATGAGTCTGGGATATTTTCTAGTCAGCCATAAGATATCATCGTTAATCAAGTGAGTTAATATCACCTTGCATCCCAGCAAAATAGGTAATAATCCTTGCATTTTGTATAGTGCCTTATCACATTGTAATGTCTCAAAGTGCTTCAAAGTGATTACTGTTAAGCGTAATGACTGTCTATTTGTAGTGAAGCTTGGGGACAAATTTGCACATAAGTGTCTCACAAACAGGATGGGAGTGAATGATCAATTTAGCAGGAAGATTGTTAGCTCGAACAACAGGAGAAATGTTTTGGACAGTATCACCTGAACAAGCAGACAGGAACTCAAAAGTCTCACCTGAAGAATAGCACCTCCAAAAATACAGCGAACCCTCGATGCTACATTAGAGTATTAGCCAAAGTCCCAAATTCAAGATTGGAACTCACAACTTTCTGACCCAAATGCGAGAGTCCTACCCAACTAAGACAGACTCAAACCAAAAACAACCAAAGCACATGAACTGCAGCAACATGGATCCAAAACATGGTGCTCAAATAGGATACAACTTTGGTTCCTTAATGAAAAAAAGCACAGGCAAGACCTTTGTTGATTTATTGAATGGCTCTATATAAAAAAAAGCAAGAGCTGATTTATACCCGAGGACAAAAGAATAGAAAATATACCAATACAGTATTCAAAAAAAGTTGGATCTGAACTGGGAGTTTACAGACTGACTGGTGCCATTTTCATCTCCCTGGATCACAAGGTAGTATGGCAGCTTACATTCCCTCTACCTTTTGAACCTTGGTGCTGAACCTTACCTCTACTCTTAAGCTTTGGTGCTATCCTACAGTTTGGGCCTTGATCAATATTTTAAAAAGCATTCATCACAGATTACCACAATTGTGCTAAGTCATTTCTTTCAGAAGTATAGTACTCTTAGTACTGTAGTCTTTTATGTACAGCACACACTGAAGAAACAGAAGATTGAAGTAGGTTTGATACTAATGCTGTTAGAATCAAATTTGAAATTTTAAAAGCTTAACACTGAGCAGAAATACGATTCAACAACAACAAAATTACATTTGTATTGCACCTTTCATGTCAGGAGGACGTCCCAAGGCTCTGGACAGACAGAGTTATGGACTCGAGCTCAGGGTCGGGGATGGTGGAGTTTGCATAGTTGAGCCTCGATGTAATGAAAGCATGTACGAGGGTTTTGGCGGCCTGCGGTGTGAGACTGAGCTACAGGACTCCAATGCGTTCAAATTTTCATATATTAAAATATGAATTTTATATATGACCTTGTATCAGAAGTCGAAAGAAAAAAAAACACTTGAAAGCGATTGTAGATAGTATTAGGTCAAGCTTGACAAATGATTGCTCAGGCAATTTGGCACCATGGGGTTTTCCACTTTTAGAAGCTGAACAAGTCATCTTGTTTCTTCCAGAAAAATGAAAAAACTTTCAATCTCACATGCCATTTCATTCTTTTTCAGTTCAGTTTTGACTTGAGGACCATTTGCCTTTTCTTTCATTTGTACATTTAAGGATGACAGCCATGTCCTCCAGTTCTGTGCTTATAGCGTAACTCATATAGCCTGCTTACATCTAAATCATCTATTGAAACACTTGACTCATATCCAAGTATATTCACCTCCTTTTATAGTGCTTCCAACTAATAATAACAGCGAGGTTGGAAATCGGGTGAGTGAAAAACGCTACTTATCTACAATTTGATCAATTTATTGAGAGACGGTCAATGTTCACCCAGTTGACCATTTCTCAGGGTTTGTAAGACACAAAGCTTTAATTACATGAGAACACTGCATGCCAACTTTCCATTTAATAGTAACAATAATTCTTACATTTGATATAATCCTTACATTTGTTACAGCATCAGGAGGACATTCTCAAAGTGCTTCATAGGATTTACTGTAAAGGATATGTTGTAGCCTTGTCCACATTGGAGCTAGGAGCTCCAAACAGGAAGTGAGGTTGGCCTTCATTGGGGATGTTACTTGGTATGTGAATTTTTCACAAGCAGCGCAAGATGGAGTAAACTAATACTGTTACAATACAGGTCGAAAGACACACACACAAGTCTGCCTAAAACAAAAGGTAATAAAACAATTACACTGAAAATACTGGACTTTGGGTCTATAGCTGCAAAGGAATCTTTTTTAACCCATTGTACAATAAGTGTGATCATGAAGTTAGAATGCAAATACAAGCTGACATGGCACGCAATAGCATTTCAGAATTTAATCAATACTTGATGGTCGTCTCGGTAGTCTGATTCCTGAGGCTGGTGGTTCAGCAGTACGCCAAGATGACGGGCCCGCCAACCCGGTTTGTTTGCAAGACTTGGAGCGACAGACCAGTCACTGAGGTCAGGGTTTCTTCTTACCTCACTCCTGTGAACTCTACAAGCCAAAGTCCTAATGTGGTCCTACCTGGACAGTCAGGGAGAAGTTTGTCAGTGTTTGCAATGGGAAACTGCATAAACTTCATCAATATCCCAAAGAATAGTTTTCTGCCGGAGTGAGAATGCCCCCTCCAGTTGAGCGTGAGAGCACCCTCCGTACCAGACAAATAGAAACCCATACACATGGGGAACTCTTGGTAGTTTAGCTTGGAGACTCTCTGCCTTGTGGTGGGTTTGTGCATGTGTCAAGACACTCAGATGAGCCCCCCACCCAAAAATAATTGTTGGAATGTGTTTGTTGAAATGTATTAATAGTTTCTTCCTTCAGAAGAAATATCCCTGTATTTGATGTGAAATAAACATAACATTTGCATTTTGTATAGTGCTTTCATGTGGGAAGTCTTATATCTTTTAACAGGATTTGCTGCAAAAGCTATAGTGACTGGTTACTTGTATATGAACATTGTATAGTTTGTCTCTCAAGTCATGTATGAACTTATATTCAAATTTAATCAGTTGAAAGGAAAATGTCCTTTGGTATCCTGAGTAACTAGGCTGACAATAATAATACTAATAATCCATGTGCTTCATCATGTCATTGAGACACCTCAAAGCACTTCACAAGACATACTGTAAAGTGGTGTGACAGTGTGTATTTTTATGTGTCAATTAACTATTTTGTGGATTATATAATGGAACAGAGCCCACATTTTGGTGAATTTATGACTAAAACAAGTGGTGAATTGTTTTCATTTGCAGAGGCGCTGGACCACAACAATTCTGGTGACTGTCCTATCCTATAGGAAGAGGAAGCAGAAATATCCCAAATGAAAGAAACTAACCAAAGAATTTTAATTGTAAAGAACTGTGAGTTTGAAATCTTTTGGGGAGATGTTCTGAAAGTTGAATTATGCAGTGTACAGCAACTGTGTTCTCTGTCACTTTTCAAAATTATACTTTTGATAAGATTTGACTGTAAATGAAACTAGTATTTATTTCACTGTACTTACAGGCGACTGACTGGAGCCAATGTCTGACATTGTGGAGGCTGGCCCTGCCACACAACTGACCGAGACAACGACCTATGGTGGGGAATTAAAAAACTAATGTACTCTCTAAAAGCGGTAACATTACTGGTGATACACTGGTGACGTGACCTACATTCTCTGCAGGGAAACCCCTGTATATCGCACCAACTTGTCGAAACACATTTCTTCATCAAATATGTGGCTAACTAGAATCACCTAGTGTGTGTAAATCTGGTTCCGCGCTATCAACCAGTCCAATCTCTTAAGGTTGATTGTGAAATGTACTGGCACAAACACTGACGGCACAGGAATAAGTGACTCCAGTGCACATTTTTTTTAAAATAAATATACTTTATTCTTTTGCCAGGTAACTTGATGGAAAAGGTAACCAGTATATGAACATAGAAAGCATTGTTAAACAATCTCAATGTACAAATAGAGCCAGTAAGAGTACAGAGCAGAGCTACTGCTAGAAAACAACATTCCACTAGTGCTGCAGACACTACAAGAATGATCCAATAACCTCAATCACTGTACCCAAGAACAAGAAATCTACAAGATACATGCTTCTGCAGAGAGATATGTGTGTCGGCCACCAGATGAAACTGACTTACTGGCTCATGTACAAGCAAACAAAACAACAAAATAACACTGAGAAGTGTTGTGCCTTGGAGGCTATCATTACAGCACTTTACTGCTTGATATGTTGCTTAACATGAAATGGACTTGCACAGCTGGATTAAAAAAAAAACATTTTTTACTAGCCTTGTATGCTAGTACAAAACCAACAGGCAATGGGCAAATCCTACCACAAAAATATTAGCTTCCTACTTACTCACTGTACTCTGGAAATTGTTTTTAAAATTGTAATTTAAGTGCTTGTGAACTGTAAACACTCATACAAACGACATGGTAGTGTAAGCTAACTGCGCCAATGTGAAATGAACGCAGCACCAGCACAAAGTGCTAGGAAGAAAGGTATTAAAATATCAAACTGTATTTATTTTATTGTAAAAGGAGGTGGAAATGAATCCCTGTTTATTTAACAGAACTAAATGCTGGTGCACGGATGATAACATTCCAATTTTTTTGTGTTTTTTTTGTTTCTTAATAAGAAAATCAGAAAAATACAACAGTGAACAGTAAGAATAATAACAAATGTTCCATCTTATCTAAACCAGAGCATTCTACAACCATGACCTATGCAATTAGGCTCTGTTCCATAATGTGGTGTATGTACTTAGACATGGTTTGCAAGGCAATGAAAAGCACCAGAAACTCCAACATAGAGAAATTCAGAATACACCAAGGAGTAACTCCACAAACTAAATTAATAATCACAGCTCCACGCCATGTCCCACAGCTTCTTTCCAGCATGCAATCATGGGCGCTACCAGGCATTGATCTTTAAGCAGACTGCGTACAATCCAGGAGGGCTGCATCTGATAACACACTTGATGGCTTGGCCTCCCAAAAATTGTAAAAGCCCGTTAGGGTCAAAGAGTTTCAGCCCCGTTTACGTTGAATATACATCTATCATCTTGGTCCTTTAGGTCTTAGTGTTTTGTAACATAAATGAGGGGAAGGGCTGGAAAGGAAAATGACAATTTGGGAATGTTTGTGATTGCTGCAGCGTCATTCCTCACTGTGCATTTGGTTGCTGGCTGACTGGTCCATTGGCTGCAGAGCTGGGGGAGTGACTGGGGCTGGGACTTGCTTCTGGTCCTCGACTGCTGGCTCCCTTTGTTTCTGTGCTTGTATTTGCTGTTGGTGCAAGGGGGTCGTGTCCTTCTGAGTTTTCCAGCATTTCTTGGATGAGGGGAGGCATTGATCCCGGGATCTCCAACTTGAGTGTAATGACACGTTCTGCACCTGAATGTGGAGACGGAGATGGAGAGAGAGAGATATCCTACTGGTTACGATTTGATTCAACATTATTTTATCTTTATCCCTTATACATTGCTTGTCACTAGCAGTTACTCTGAATGGCTCGTGCTTTAATAGGCTGTTCCCTCACACTGTGCAGGAACAGGATATGAAAGCCATGATCATTAAACAGCTCAATAATAATAACAATCCTTGGAAAAGTCAAATCCAAAATCAATTCAAAGATGTTTTCATTGGAGTAGGAGGAGAGCATCCAACGCACTGAGTCCATTCCACCAGTTTATTAGTTTAATTCCATTTCCCTGCATATTCTCAGGAACCATCACTATATTATTTAGGTTACATAATTAGGTAACTGTAAGATGAATTAGCCTAACCAAACCCTGTGATATGTAATGGGATTGACATGTAGACATATTCTCTGTTGCAATCTCCAATCTCAACACAGATTCCCATCCTTAATACCCAAGGTGTTTTCATAAAAGGTTTTACCGTTATCTCAAAGAAATCGACAGGTAGGAGGAAAACATTTTTTAAAAAATACATAAATGACACAGCCAGGCCAGTGGGTACCTTTCGCACTGATGCTCCGCAGGTCTGTAATCTTCATTAATATCTTTGGGAACATGTGGGGCTTGTTGGGTCTTCGCTTTCTGATATAAATTTTTAAAGCCTCCAGAAGTGGTTCCTGCAATTTGTCCACTTTCCCTGCGTCCTCCAAATCCTGGCGGTCTACAAAAAAAATCATTTTAACGTAACTTCAAGATGTAAGAAAGATGCAGTTAAGCACGCTACCCTGTGTGAAGGACACTATATAAATGCAAGTATGTAATTTACCATTTCACCTCTCGGAGAGTGAGAGGGATTTTCTCCCATCCATGCCGTTTCAGAGGATGTAGATTTCACCACCACTGGCAGCTTATGCCCTGGAGAGTGGGGGTATGAAGATCATATCTATAGCTTGGTGTCCTGTCCTAAATATAGCCTTGTAATGGAATACTGCCAGGCAACTGCACACCCTTTCCCCCACTCTTTCAGCAGATTTGTCTTATTTGTATGTGGCTTATAAAAGAAGAATTTGCATTTTTATAGCCCCTTATCACGCCAAAGTGCTTTACAGTATTTAATATGAAGTCATGAGGCGAATGGATGAAGATTAGATTATTTGGATGTCTTCCAGCCTCTAGGTTAGAGGAATTTCTAACTGTGGGAGGAAGCATCTCACCCCTCGTGTAGAGAGAGTCAGAGGAATGTTATGTGTTGTCTTCTTTTTCTTCCCAGGTTTCCTGCCTTTGCTCCTTTTCCTTCCTATTTATTAGCTAAGACTTTTCACACTAAAACTTCAGAAGTCATGAGGTAATGGGAAGAGCAAATACCAAGGCCAAGGCTGTGGGCATTGCTTCAATTGAACCTCTCTTATGAAGCAGCCTCTTTGCCTCTTGTCAGTCTGGTCACATAATCCACTCTCTCAAGTCACGAGACTTGGAATTCAAACTATGTACTTTTTATATCTACAACTAAAATCACATGAAGAAAAAAAACAAGGTAACCTTGTTAATTTCACTGTTGTGGGGGGAGGGGGACAGACAGGGGGTCGACACAGTTATGAATACTTGCAGTAGTCTGCACTGAATCTTTTTACAAGTAACTCTGACTATTGAATTTCAGTCCCCTCTATATTTTTGACCTACATTTAAAGGATTCTATTTTGTAAATAACTCTTCAGTTGAGCAATTGAAGTGCACACCATCAGAAATTACAGATAAACTATAAAGCTCCCATGTTTATCTAGAACTATGCAAGTTATGTGTTAGCCTGGCTCTGTTGGTAGCACTCTATTCGCCTCTGAGTCGGAAGGTTGAGGGTTCAAGCCCCACAACGGGACTTGAACTCACATTGTCTGGGCTGACACTCCATTGCACTCTGGGGATGTGTTGCAATGTTCGAGGTACTATCATTTGAATGGGATATTAAACGGAGGTCCTGTCTGTGCCTGTTCAAGCAGACATTAAAGATCCACTTAAAAATGAGAAGGGAGTTTCTCCCAATGTCTTAGCCAACAATCCCCCAAATAAAATTGGTAATTTGTTTCATGGCTGTTTGTGTGACATTGCTGTGCACAATTAGGCTGCCACGTTTACCTACAAATACACAGTAAATCCTGTGAAGCGCTTTGAGACGTCCTCCTGACATGAAAGGTGCTATACCAAATTCAAGGATTATTTTTATAAACTATCTCATTTTAATATTTGCATATAAAGATATCTGCCAGCAGGTGGCAGTATCACAGCACAATTCAGTGCAGTTTGGGAGGGCTGGAGGCGAGGAAGAGCAACTTTTATTTTGTTTCTTAAAAATAATCTCTGTGTTTTCTTTCTCCACAAGTTAGTCAGTCCACTGATCCGCACTCTCCTTAGTCAGAAGAGTGGAACAGTTCACCACTAATATCTAAATGGATGTTTTCAGTGCTGTTCTGTGGGTGACCAGCAGGAGATCCTGGAATCTCATTTACTGGAGAGGTTTAATTGAATGTCAGCGAAGACTGTGATTTGAACTTGGGTCATTAGTTTAACCTTTCAGAATTCAGTTCAACCTCTTCATCACATTTATACTGAGACTTGAACAGCCTCTCTTTTTACTGTTTTGGATTATTTCTATTGGCTCATTTAGCAATTGGCTGTCGCGTTTCACCCACAAATATACAGTAAATTCACTTAAAGTGTATTCTGTGAAGCGCTTTGAGATGTCTCGAAGACATGAAAAGTGCTTTATCGAATGCAAGGATTATTATCATTTAAATATTTAAATGCAGGCACATCAACATCACACAGACATGCTCCCACTTCTATTGATTAATATTTCATCTTCCAGCAATCCGAGTTGATGGATAATATAAGAGGGAAAAGGTAGTGTGTGGGGGTGGGGGAGAGGGTGGGGGGGAGAGAAATCACAAGATCAATGATCTGTTTTAGTGCAGTACGTCCCTAGCACTGCCCTGAAGTGTTAGCCACACTAGACAAAATGAGTTCAGGACACGGAACTAAAACCCACAACCTTCCGACTCTGAGGTGCAAAAGCTACCAACTGAGCCAGCCTGACGCAAGATGTGTGTGATAGCAGGTGTTATTTATTTTCTTACGTTTTTTAAGTTAGCTGTGCAATCTCTCCTTTAATAACATTACAACGAGCTTGAACAAAGACAGAAGTCTCCGGGAATACTCAACAGTTCAGGCAGCATCTATGGAGAAAGGAAAATGAGTCAACATTTTGGGTCCATGACCCTTCGTCGGAAAGTTTTGGGTCACGAAACGTTGACTCACTTTCCTTTTTCTATAGATGCTGCCTGACCTGCTGAGTGTTCCCAGCGACTTCTGCTTTAGTTTCAGATTTCCAGCATCTGCAGTATTTTGTGTTTTGTTACAACGATCTTGGTTGGCTTCTGATTTACACCCACCTGGGATACAAATCAATGTTTGCCTGAAACTGCCTTCTGAAGGTGGTTTCAGCAGCTGGAATCCAGATTTGCCTTAAACCCATCATAAACCAAACAATAAACGATCCCTGTATTTGATATAGCACCTACAACATAAAAATCCTTTGCAGTAGCTATTGTTAAGTGCAATGACTTTGTATTTCTTGGCAAATGCTGCAACCAATTTGCACACAGCTTGATCCAAAAAGCACCATGAAGTGAATAATCGATTGTCTGAAGGATTGTTGACCAGGATTGGGCAGAAAAGCAGAAACTGTCTTTGTGAATTGTGCCATGGTTTTTCAATGTTCGCCTGTACAGGCAGACAGAACTCTGTTTTAATGTCTCATCTGAAGGAAGGCTAACCGAATTCTACACTGTCAACCTAACTGAGATCAAAGTCCATAATGTGAGCTTGAATGCAAAACCTTCTGACCAGAGGTAAAGTGCCAACCTGCCACACCATCCACACAATACACTGTTACATGATAAAGTAACAGACAATGTCAACATTCACCACAACTACACTTTTGATAATTGAACCGGTCTGCAATAAACCATCAAGCTTTAGAGCTCATGAGGGATGTAATGGTGGATTTAAAACAAGGGGAAGAAGCACTGAAATTGGAGGCAGCAGAAGAGTGACAGCACCAAAGGAGTTAAGGTTGCAGAAGGAAATCTATTCCAGCCCAGTTTCTGGCACCAAGCAAGGCTGTAAGGAGAGTGGNAAAAAAACGTCTATTAAACTGTATCTGCTCTTTGTGGATTCCATCCACACTACATTCATGGATATGTGACATTTTGAGTGCATAGAAATAAGATAGAGGATCAAATTTAAATTTATCTGCACTATCCTAGGGAGATGCATTGAAACTTAATTGTAGATCTAGGCTGAGTGAATAGATTAACCCATTCATTAAACCTAACGTATATGTTCAAATAAAATTCCCCCAAGGAAGCATACATCTGCATTCCTTCTTCATTAATTATTTTCCACATACCAATAAATAACTCAAATCACCACCAGGGAAAATCACAACATCTCGGATCAAGATATTTGTATTGGTAGCTCAGGCTGGTAATCTGGGATCTGAAATTTCTGGGTTCGATTCCTAGTGAGTTCAAACCCTTCACCTTTTCATGGTCAAATCTATTGTACCAACTCCTGGGTATTGCTACTCAGAATGCTTCTTACAAATATCTTGATCCAAGAATTTGTGATTTTCCCTGGTGGTGATAGGAGTTATTTATTGCTATGTGGGAGAATATGTTCTCCTTTGAGGTAATTAAGTAGTGTCTCCCAGGGATTGATCTGGCTATACAAGCCATGGTTGTTGCTTGTCCATGGTGTCTGGAATTGGAAGTCCAAAGGCGTGCATGTGCAGGATGTGATGTCAGTGGTGACTTGATGATCTGGACATTGGGTATTTTCTACATTTTAAAGCAACATGGAGCCTGAGAGATTGGACTCAAATGATCATGTTACAATGGGGCTGTCCTGTATGTAGATTGAGTGACATTCTAATCCAGTTTCGCCCACAAAATATACAATCAATTCACTTTGGGTATATTCTGTGAAGTTCTTTGAGACGTCTAGATGATGTGATAAGACGCTATATCAAATGCAAGGTTTATTATTATTATTATTGTTGAGGCCCAAGGTTCAGCCAGTCCAGATAATCTCAGATGCTTGCGATGAACATTTGGAGTCACTGCAGATGTTTTTCAGCAAAGGATAAAAGACAGTCTCAAAGGTGTCAGCCTGGCTTACTGGTAGCACTCTCCACTTCAGAATTTTGCAGCTTCAAGTCCCACATCGGGACTTGAACTCACAGTTTAGGCTGCCTCTCCAATGAAGTGCTGGGGCAGTGCTGCATCCTGATGTGAAAGGCTCTATATAAATGTAATTTTGTATTGTAATTTGTATTGCTTTGTTTGCCAGGTGCTATCCTTCAGAGGAGATGTTAAACTGAGGTACCCCATTTGCCTCTTCAGGTGTTTGTTTAAAGATCCTACAGCATTATTTGAAAAGAGAAGGGAATTTCTCTCTTCTCATTTCAACAATAACAAATTACATTTATATAGCGCCTTTCACATCAGAAGGACACCCCATAGCGCAACAGTCAAGGGTTTGCACCTGAAGGCAGCAGCCAATTTGTGAACAGCAATGTCCACTTCATGGCTGTTTGTGGGACACTTACATGCACAAGTTGGCTGCTGTGTTCGCCTATAAATACACAATCACTACGCTTCTCAGTAAAATTCTGTGAAGCACTTTGAGATGTCTCAATGACATAAGGCACTATATCAAATGTAAGGATTATTATCATAAATTGTGGGGAATAAATATGGAGCAATCGGACCAGACATGAGATCCAACAAGAAGGAAACATTCCCCTCATAGATAATGCAAGTTCGGGAGAAGATAACTTACTATTTCCTCTTCAAAGCCCTGAAATCCCACATAGTTTTATTCCGTATGATCATTCTATCTTAATGTTTAATATTTCACAAAATTGTCATACAGGCTTAGACTAGTTAGAAATTCAGCTCTCTGATGTTCCTTTTGCATACCTATAAATATCAGAACTTGATGTGAAGCAGTCCACATTAAGGTGGGAAATAGGAATTTAATAAGACATATAATTTTCTCCTGGAGTTGAGAGAGACCTACCTCCACAGATCAGGCAGATGGCACTGAGAAGGCCAGTCTCCGTGTCATCCATTTCGAGTGGCAGGAGTTGATTGGCAAAGGTAAAGACGAGGTCAGTGAGTGGCCCAAAACCTGCATTGTGCATCTGAGTCCTGTTGAGAGTAAGGCCATCGGAGAAGGTCATTGTGTCCTGATCTGGAGTGTATCGGGTACAAATTCGGAGAATCTGTTGGCATAAAAGAAACACTAAATTAATGGAAGGATTAATGCAAGATTAATGCAAGTGCTCCGGGACACTACCCCGCGTGAAGGGCGCTATATAAATGCAAGTTTTTGTTGTTGATTATTATTATAGATTCATATTTGTTTTAACATAAACATCTAACAAAAAACTCCTCAAAAAGATATATGTTTACTGAAACTGAGTACATAGAATGAGAAGTTTGGGACTACTTCTTAATACAGATATACAAAAAGTTATTGTGTAAACTGAAAAGGAACAAAAACATGATGTTATTTCTTTCCCAGCTTCGCATCACACCACTGTAATGCTACACGTCTTACCTCAATTAGAATTGAGAATTGCCAGACCCAGGCAGTGCCAATAGAGCTCACAAGGCCAGGTCTTTTGATGAATTGCAATTACTACTGGGAAGCATGATACACCTCAAGAGCAAAAGTGGGAATGTGAAGTAGTTAAGTTTCATGATTAAAGTCTGCATTTTGTTTAAGAGCTCCAGCCGCAAAGCTGCCGGCTCTGGTTTGGAAGCCTAAGGTGGGGCCCATGCACTTATTCTCCTTCCGTCCCTGTGAACAAGTAGCTGGCCTCTGCTGAACTCCTCTCACCAGATTTGGTGTGTTCCGATTGAAAAGAACTCATTACTGAACCAAGGTCGGTTTGCTGACCATCACTCCAATACAGTATATGTCAAGACTAGTCAGGCTGAGAGCAGGGAAATTGGAGAAAAAACAGGGAGGCCCTAGCAGAATTGAACCCTTGGGCTATTTCTTTTAAAGAACAATAGTATTAAGAATACTGAATTGCTTTGTAGCTTGCAGCACACAGACATCTTTCATTTTTATGAACCTTCTGAACGCGGAAACTGCCTAAGAAAATGATATGCATAAGCAGTATTCAAAATAAACCAATGTTTAAGTAAGGTTTGCTGGAAAACCATCCCTGGCAAAATGCTTTGTACAAGGCTTTAGTGTTGCTATGTTTCTGTTTTTTTAAAAAAAGTTTCCTTTTTCTGTTAAACAGTTAGAAAAATTAAGAAATGAATCTAGATCAAAATGTGTACAGAATTCTCTTCAGCTAGCTTTGAGCAGTGCAAAGAATTGTTTTTAAATCAACACACTTCCCAGGAATATCAGTTGAAGCTGGGATGCAGGGCAGCCCATTAAAGGGAATTTGTCAGAAATCTGGAGTTTAAGAGTACCTACTCTGCACCAGGCGTGCTCTGAGCAAAGGTGATACTTGCTCACGTTAGGAGGCTGGTAGGAAAAGTATCTCTTCAATCATTGCTTTCCCTCCTGCTGTCTGTGGGTAATGTATGTGACTCTTCTCCGCAATGGAACCTGCTTGAAATAATGTGAGGTTTCTGTGCCCATGCTGTTGCTCTTTGTCCCTTTCTGATTGGCAGCAGCCCAGGGCCACAGAGCGGAAGGCAGCACCAACCACATATTACTGAAATCAATCTCTCCTGAGAAAGTTAAATACCCTAAAAACAGATGGCAAAAAAGAGTCCCTCCTCCTCCCCCTCCCCTCCCCGCCCAACATACCCCAGGCACTACCTAAACATCAGGAACATGTAATTAAAGGGCAATTGTGAGGCCTTCCAGCTTTACTTTTCTGTACATAACAGGCTTAGAAAGTAGACATTACCTATATAGACCAACTACAGCCTGAAACATTATGCACTGAGGCTTTCTTACACTTATATCCGCTCTAAACTCCTAAGGCTTAGCGNTTTTTTCAAGGAAACATTGACACTGTGTACAGCAGCAAAGCAGAGAGAATTAACCTAGATGAGAATATTTCCTCATCAAACCAGGATGAAATCCCCGGATTAGTGTGGCTCCCATTAAGCAGCTCATTGACCTGAAATGCCACACTGTGTAATACTTTAATTACGATTACACTTCAGTATCACCCTCAGTGGGACTAAATGTTGTTGCTTCATGGTCAAGTTGCTATATTAAATATTGCAGGAGAATGTTTTTTGTTTGGAGAGTAATTCATTTTTTTAAAATGCAATGAAATAAAAAAAACTGAGAAAGTTAATGAAAGTCACTAGCAGAGGTACAACAATAACTTGCAATTATATAGCGCCATTCACACTGGGAGATCTGATTCTTAGGTAAGAAAGTATGTAGCCACTAGCACCAATAACATTAGTTCAATGTTTAGAGGAAAAAATCAGCGCATGAGCATTAACAGTAAAAATCTATTGTCCTGGCAGCTCCAAGGCTCCATTAGCAGATGGGCTGATCCCACCCAGAGGGTCACACATTCAGATCCTTGTCTCCGGGTGTCCTGTCCAAGAAGCCCCCAAATAAAATTATCATTCATGGCTGTTTGTGGGACATTGATGTAGACAAATTAACTGTTGTGTTCACCTACAAATACACAGGCACTAAACCTTACAGTGAAATCCTGTGAAGCACTATGAGGGTTTGAATGATGTAATAAGGTGCTCTATCAAATGCAAGGATTATTATAAATGGTCTCATTCTGTCATCAGAGCATGTTTTGGCAGCTCTCAGTCACAGCACTAGATGGAGCACGGCACAGCACAACACTGCCTCGGGGAGGGGAAACTTGCAGGACTCCACAATCCACAAACTCCTTTCTTTTCTGATCGTCTTTAGAATTAAATTGCATTTGCAGGACCTCAAACAGAATCACTGTCTCCAACTTTCTAATATTGTGCACATAAGGGCTATGAATTTAATTATGATGTGCAAAGGCTGCAGAACTCTAGATTCTACGTACAGAGCAATCCTGTTATAACACAGCGATCTGGCTTCATAAACCCAGATTCCTGTGTTAAAATGAAATGTGAATAAAGTCAGATTATTGGGTTGTCCGGTCCTGTGCTACACCAGAAGCTTGGAAACCTGGTTTCTGGCACTTACTACTGGCCATCTACCCACACCACAAAATGGCAGTCTGGATCGTCAGGTCACTACTGTCATCACTTCCTACACATTATGTGCAGACACATACATCCACCGTCACTCACATCACTTCCTTCAACAACAAGTTGCATTTACAAAGCACCCTTCACACGAGGTGGCATCTTGGAGCGTTTCACAAAGTGAAAGCAGCAGCAACTCCTGTGAACAATCTGTACCCACAGCACTTGGGAGGAAGGATGGCAGAAGATGACATGATGAGCAGAACTAAAGTGTTTACAATTTGGTTTTATTTAAAGTGTAGAATAAGTGGCCAGGCCAGAGAGAATGCAATTTCCCTAGACCTTCCGGCACCCTGAGGATTACTGTTAGCTGGGACCACCCGGGGTGGATGGGTGGGTGGGGTAGTGGAAGGAAACAGAAACTTCCATGTTATTCTGAAACTGTCCTTGAAAATGTTCCAAAAAAAATCTAATCAAAATATTATTTAAACAGTTCAGCTAGTTTGGGTGAGGATGGGTCAAGGAAGCCCTTTGTTGTTTTGGAGGGAAAAAATGTTTCTTAAATAATCACAGATATCTAACTTTAATACATCATATTGCAACTTTTTAAGAAGTACTGTATACTGCGAGGCAGTCCCAGTGGTATAGTGGATAGAGCTGTAGCTTACACACCAGGAACTTGTTGGGTGATAGAAATCTGGAATTTTCTCTCCCAAAATGCCGTGGATGCTGGATCCATCCACATCTTCAAGAGTGAGGTTGATAGATTTTTGGTAGTTCAGGATATTAAGGGATATGGGGAGAAAGCGAGAAATTAGAATTGAAAGGATTAGTTGAGTTGCAGATCAGCCATGATCTAATTAAATGGTGGAACAGGCTCAAAGGGCTGAACGGCCTCCTCCTGTTCCTATGTTCCTTCCTATGGTTTGAATCCTGATTCAAGCAAAGCTTCCTCACCTGGGGAGGCTAGATAGAGGTTAAAATCATCCTTTTCTCCTGCTCCTGGTCTCTCTTCAGCAGGCTCTACTGGAGTGTGGCTGTGTGGCAGTTGGGTGAGGTTAGTTCAATAATCTGCCAAGGTTCACATATGAACGGTCACTTGGGCAGAGTACTGGAATACTCTGTCCATCGTGCCAATGGAAACCATTTTTCAAAAATCAACCTGCACTACTGCAAACCTCTGCTAATGTCAAGCTTTCATTGAAGTAGAGTTGAGTATACAATTCAGTTCTGTTAATACATGGCCAACATCATCCTCATTAAACACAAGCATCAACTTAATTATGAACCAATATCAGGACTATTTAGAAATGCTAAAAGACATTTCTTTATTTTGGTTAGCTGAGAGCCCAATACCCTGGGAAACCCATGCCCACACTCACGATTATCCAAACCAGACTGGGAGTTGCATGCATCCCACCTATTAGGGGAAATTTCCCTGTTTCTGGAATGGAATGTGCAAGTTTCCTCTTAAATACATTGATATTTTTTGCTTTAATCACAGCTTCTGGCAATTGTATGAGAGCATGGTCACCATTCTCCAGCACACATTCTTTCTTGATTTATACTGTTCCCATAATTATCTGGAAAACTAGGGTGTGTCTTTCTGTCAGCAGAAACACATTGTAAAAATTATTTCAAGCTTAACTAGGTTGTCCTGTATACTTATCTGTTTCCACAAGTGAAGCTGCTATCAGGGAGTCACAGAGCATTGGTAGTGGCTGAACAGAACGCTATAACACATAGACCAATATGACTTCCCAGCTGAAAGAGTCCATTTCACATGGACTGAAGCAATGTTCGAGTGTGAGTTTAAACTGCACTTGAGTTTTAAAAAAAGTGCAAATTATCATAGTTTGGGCATTTTAACAACATTCCACAAACAGAAAGGAGTCCTGGAGTCCTGTAGCTCAGTGGTTAGAGCACTCGCCTCGCAAGCGAGAGACCTGGGTTCTATTCCCGGCAGGGCGAAATGGTGGACAAGTTTCCTTACTCCACATGGCTCTGTTTACCCAGCAGTAAGTAGGAACCTGGCTGTTAGTCGATTGGCGGATCGCTTTTCTAGAGGTAATAATTCCTTAAAAAA